AACTTCTGTGATTTATCCATTTTGTTTTCCAGCCATTCGAGGAAATTTCATCCTATAAAGTTACCGAGTAAATACAATTAAAGCGATTTTTTGCGCTGTGATAGGATCGCTTTAGGTACTGACTATGAGCGCTGACTGAAGGGTGCGATGATTTATTCCCAACTTTCTCAAATAAATAGCTGGCGCGTTTATCCGCGCGCGCAGGTGGGATAAAGACAGCGTTGCACTTTTTGCAGTGAGGGATTCTTCGAGGATGATGAATTATTCAGATGCGTCGAATCGCGCCATAACTTACGTGATTCTCTAATGGGTAACTATCCAATCACATCGTGAAGCTAGGGTAATAGCCTAATTATAAACAACAAAAAATTGAATTTTCGCAGACTAAAAAAACTTTTTTGCAAAATTTAATTTTTTTTTATGTTTTGATAGCAGATATCTCGTAAACTAAAAGTGATAGAGAGGAACGGATTAAAGATCCTTAATCTACGTCAAATTCTCTATATGTGACATAAAAACTAATAAAATTGGAAGAGTTAAACATAAGTTATAATAAAAATTAAAAATTTCAAAATTCGAAAATTCAAAAAATTTGATTTCGAATATCTTCTGAACTGAAAGAGGTAGCGACCAACGGATTGGAGATTATGAAAGATTGGAAAATTCTCTATAAAATAAAAACATAAAATAATTAAATATCGTAGGGTACACGGTCTAAAAAACGTGACTAAAATGCTAAAAAAACAATTTTTCGATTTTTTCCACTTTTTCACTTTTTTCCATTGTGAATATCTCGCAAACTAAAAGCTATAGCGACCAACGGATTGAAGATTCTGAATCTACGGAAAATTCTTATCAATAACCAACAATTACCACTTACAAATATAACATTCCTATACGTCAAATTCATACATACGTTCGTTCCACAAACGCAAGGACGAAAGTCAGCCTACTCTTTCCATTGCCGGCATTGCAAATTCCTTGGCAGCCGTTAACATAAGATATTCATGAGCCTGACAGCAATGGCAATCGTCGGCAGGGCGTGCATTAATGTGCTGCAGTCTTTATTAATAGAATAATTAATCAAACGCGGCGATATCTGCGCGTAACCGCAGCGTGCTTCATGCGTGCAACCCTCGTTTGCGGCGGCGTGCGTGCGTGCGCTCAACCGGCCCACATAAATTGAAACGAATTTTAACGAATCCGAGCAAACAGCGCCGGACGCCCCATCATCGCCCGCACGTCCGCTTTGCATATTTAATCACTCTATTACATGTTCTGATTGAAAATTTTTCCATGGATATTTTATTTCGCAAATATATGCGAAGGCGCAAATCTCATTTTCGAGCAAATTTTCGCTTTATTTTTTGACCGAATGTCCCAAAAACTTATAATCAACCCACCGGGGAGCACTTGGAGTAAATCAAGCGCGCTTATAAAATTCATTTATTTAAATTACGCGCGCGCGGCGCAAACTTCCTCGGTTCAATTACCTCATTCGCAAGTCGCCACATTGCGAATAATTATTTGGGGTCAGTCGGCAACTTGCGCCCATTTTAATCTTCGCAGTATTATTTGCATTCGGATGGGTAATACTGTTAGCTGGGGGGTTTAATCTACTCTCGCAGCGGCAAGTTGCAACCAGACGGGCGCCGCCGGACGCGGAGGAGTCGCTCTATTGATTCGATTCATCTGAAAGTCGGGCGGTTGGGAAGCACTCAAAGTATTTAAACTCTCCACACATTGTGAAGTTAGGGTAATAGTCTAATTATAAACAACAAAAAATTGAATTTTCGCAGACTTAAACATTTTTTGAAAAATTTAATTTTTTTTAATGTTTTGATAGCAGATATCTCGTAAACTAAAAGTAATAGAGAGGAACGGATTGAAGATTCTTAATCTACGTCAAATTCTCTATATGAGACATAAAAACTAATAAAATTGGAAAAGTTAAACATAAGTTATAAACAAAAATTCAAAATTTCGAAATTCGAAAATTCGAAAAATTCGATTTCGAATATCTTCTAAACTAAAAGAAGTAGCGACCAACGGATTGTAGATTATGAAAGATTGGAAAATTCTCTATAAAATAAAAACATAAAATAATTAAATATCGTAGGGTAAACGGTCGAAAAAACGTGACTAAAATGCTAAAAAAACAATTTTTCGTTTTTTTCCACTTTTTCAGATGCACGATGTATTTCATCATGTATTTTACTTTTCACATTTCTATTACACAATATTTTCCGATTGTCTTCTGCAAGTTAATAAAAACTTACATTTATGAGTTCTGCTGATACTTGCAGAGTGATATGTGTGCCTGACAAATGAAAATCAGTGTTATTATAGCCGCCGAATGGGAATATGTGGCGTGTGGCGCATTATTGTTGACGGTCGTGTGGCGGCGGCGACGTCGTGTCGCTCCCAGCGCTCTCCGAACGCTTCGGTTTCGCGAACAAATTTGATTAATTATTCCATTAATACAGTGACGGGGGGCGCGCGCACAATGCCTGTTTGTGTACCTCTGTGCCTTCAACTGCTGCGAGTCGAACAACACCAACAGCCGCAAACAACACAATAACTACATTACGCCAATATTTGCGCGCGGAGGAAAAATGTTACAACTTGTTCATAAATGTCACGAATGCTTCATTACATACATTGACTTCGCTTTATTTCTACAATTGCTTTTCACAATCGGAACTGGAACAGTCAATATGAAGCTATATATTAAATTACTTGTTATAGCATCACAGGGTAACGTAACGACGAAAATGTTTTTATTTCTAGTAATTATTTTTTTTAAATTGACATCTACTCAAATTATGCAACCCAATATACATAAAAATCAAAAAAATCAAATTTTTTTAATTTTCGCATGATTTTTAAGCTTTTTACGCGTATTTTTACTAAAATAATCGAATTTATAACAAAATGTCATTATTTGGATAATAATTTTAGTCCCCACTTTGCTAAAACTAAATAAAATGTGTGTTTTTGATTGTTTTCCACTCTAAATATGAAAAAAATCAAAATTTTGTTTTATTTGTTCGGAAATATTTCGATTGCGTTAAATAAAATATGCAAACACAAAAAAGAATCTACAGTTGATGGAACTCAATTGATTAAATAGTGAAAGGAATGGCTCCCTCGCCGTATCTATTTATAGTGCCTTGGAAAAGTAGAAAACCTCCCCGGAAAGATTGCGCGCAATGGACAGTCAAGTTCAGCATCCGAACTTACTTTATTGATATTGCGCCGGCGAGCGCCGAATGAAACCGCCCAATAATAACAAATACTGAAGTCGTCAAAAGCCTACGCTTTGAACCTCAATAACATTATGATTTGATTATATTCCTTTCATATCTAGTAAAAATATTTCAACAAATGTTTCGTTAGATGGCGTACTGTGCTTGTGATGGCGCGTCGAGTGAATAAATCAGACGAATGCAAAAATGCTACTCAGACAAATTCCTTTTGTGCCTCGCTGCTGAATGCGCGCACGAAACGAGAACAAATAAATCATCACTTTGCACGATTTTCGGCCGGCACGCAATTGCGCCCGGGCGGCGGCGGGGTGTAGGTATACATCCCTTCGATGGCATTCATGCCCGCCCGCCATTTGTTCTGTTATCAATCATCGCTCGTTTTCGTTTCGTTTCGCAACAAAAGGCGACGAAAGGTGGAGAGAATCGACTCCGGAGCGTGCGTGACACCCGCGCACAAACAACGTCATTTAATATTAATTAAAATACTGCGAGATGATTATTTTAATGGATAGACATATAATAAATGTATTCCTCGTAAAAAATGCATCATACGTTTCTCTTTTTGCATTTAAATACGATACTTTGCGCCGCCGCCTTGCATAATGCAGCCGAGTGTGTTCTTCATTTCAGTCACAGAAAAGGTGCTCGAGAAGCGGCGGCGGCGGCAGCGGATACACGTCGTCACTTCACCTCGTTATCTGTTTTTCTCGAATGACTGCACGTTCCCAGGCGGTGAACGCACCGACGTGCAAATTGAAACCGACCCTTAAAATCATCCCCTAGATAATTTACTTTTCCTACACGTGGATATCTTCAAAATACAAAATTTCGCGAAAATATTTCGACGCTGATTTAATAATGTTTATAAATTAATTATTTCCGGCCGGGCGGAGATGTTTTGCACACAGCGGCAATCAAATTGAATTTCACCCTTCAAGAATGAGAGCGCTCGCAAATGAAATAACCAAAGACAAACTGCATCAACCCCGGAATGAAATTTAATATCAGCATGCATGAGTTCACCACGGCTTTCACACAGCGCGCCGGCTGCACATTGCAATTACGAGTTAATTAACGCGTCGTAAATAAAAGAGTTGCCACTGGGAGCTGCGATGTCTTCTTCGGCTGTGGCGGTGAAAAAAATATGACGAGCGCTATCTGTCTCGGCGGGTGATGATTCGCGTCTATGCCGGACACAAAAATAAATCTCTTTAATTAGCCGGGGTGCGCATGGTACGCGGCGGGCATTATTCCCAATCCCCTTGTTAAGCCGCGCCGGCGAGCACCGCGCGCAACAGTTGTGGCGGCGGCGGCGGCGGCAAACGCACGCGAGCCCCCGAAAGCCTGCTGCCCTGCTGCCCCGCCGCCCTAGTCACCCAGAGCGAAGGCGACGCACGCGGGTCTAGAAGTTGCAACAAGTTGCCCACTTAACCACCGCCGCCTCCGCACATTCCGCTGCGTTGAGGCGCGTGAGATGCGGAAAGCGCTTAATATTTCGAGTTTCGCTACCTCGCTACCCACTTCTGCAAGTGGTTTAAGCCTTGTAATCTTGATTTATGCGAAACATCTAGTTTTGTTTACACTTTTGAGGGTGGCAACCCTTTCACACCCTTGGGAACCACTCGGAAAGAAACACTTTATGACGAAAGTTCGAATACAATGGAATCAATATTAATTAAATTTCGATCGTGCATTATCTCTTCATCCCTTATCTCCACAATAGCTACTTACCCTTGATGTGTGTGTGGGTCCAGGGCGTTCCAATCGCGGTACGTGACAATTTCTCGGCGATGAATCAAATGTTTATCATCCGCACAATTTTTTCGTTTGTGTTTTTTAACGCGTTTTCCAAACGTTTATCTGAAATAATTTCAAGAGAATATAAAATATTAATTATTAGTGTGATGTAAAAAATTGTGCAGGGAATAATTGATTGCGATCGTGTAGTTTTATTTGCGCTGCAATCGGGGACGGCGTTCGCGCAAAGAGTTCAACGTCCTCTTTAAATAAAGTGTCTCGCCAGGCAGCCAGCCAGCGACGCAGCCGACCAGGCGGCGGCGAGAGTCGACTCGACAGCTACGCGATGCACTCGGATGCACTTTCAACTATGGACGCAGCCGCCCCACGAGCCTGGCGTGCCCAAATTTACAAAATTCGCTCAATTATTTCACGCCCTGATTTCATCCGACTTGTTTTCCCATAAATAAACACACTACGAGTACGAAATAAAACAAATTTGATCATGCATGTTGGATAATATTTACACCTTAATTAATTAATTAATTGATTAGGTAATTGAATGATTTGTTACACGTGCTGGATATGAATAGAAATGTCGTGCAAATATTCGGTGAGTTTACCTAGTTTCGAGCGGGGTGCATTGCGTGCAAACGAGAGTGCGTTGCGGGGGACGCGAGCGCGAGAGCGGCGGCGGTGGGTTCGTTGACACGGCGCGTTGCGCGACGAGACTGCCGGTTCTGGCGGCGGCTGCCACCGCCAAGAGCGTAGACGGCGAGTGGACTGGCATGCGCTTCTTGTCGCTCTCCTGCCTCGGCGGGCGCGCCGGGTTCGCGGACTGGATGTGCACTAGCGCGAGGCACGCTCGCACGCCGCCGCCGCCCGGCAGCTGGGGCGCGCATGACCGCGGCCCGCGAGAGGTGAAGCGCACACCGGCGCCGCCGTCCTAAGAGGTGCACACGAGTAACACACATACGGGGGCGGCGGAGGAGGGTCGGTAACTTTGTTCAGTAGGTTAACACCCCGGACGCAACCGGATGCGGAGCGAAGCAGGTGCAGCCTGCCGCCTCCCGCGACCATCTACAACTTACAGCATGTCTCTGCGTGCAAACCGAACTGAATAATAATAAATCGTTCAGTCGGCGGGTGCTATTATTGATGCCGAACGTATAAATATGAGATTTTTGTGTGGTGTGGAATTTATAGCGGGCGACCCTCGTCTCCCCAGCCTGCCCTATATCGTGGTTGTGCGAATGCGTAAATTCCGAAATATGTTGCGAGTGAAAATACATCAAGCGTGGCAAATTTGTTATCGCCGCCGGACGCCGCCCGAAAACTATGCGCCAGCACAAACGCGATAAATCATGGTCAATATGAAAAATCCACGGCGGCGGCGGCGGCGGCGGCATAAAAGTCGTCGCCTGAACACCTCCCCGCGTGTTTAATGCCGCCCCCAGTAATGCAAATTGTTTGCATGCTGACGCTGAAATTTCTCTCATATTTGCAATTGTTTAAAAAAAAAAATACACTTAGAATCAAATTCCAAGCGAAACAAAATGGAATACCTTCAAATTATTATCACAAATCCAAATGGTACGTCCACAGACAAAATTTGACAATTTTTGGGTATTACACGTCTAGGGCTTAGGTGTTCAGGTAGAAACATTTGCGAATTCTGGTTAATATGAAGATTAACGACCACCTCATTGGTAGGTATTATCTTCATTGCAGGTATTACTACCCGTGGATCATAAAACAATATAATCTAATCCGGGCGGCCTACAAAACTACCTCGGAATAAAAGAATATTCCAATAATAATAGTTGATATTACTGGAAGTTTTCGTGCCAGACATTTTTATTATTATTTAAATTAGATTCCTAATAGACCCAGGTGTTCAATTTTACAGAGCAGCTTAAATGTCGTTTCAATATTTGCGCGTCCCGCCGATTCGGGCAATTACCGCACACAATCTGTGTTTACAGAGAAACGCTGAAAAATAAAGCTGAAAACAATGTTTCTTGATGATTTTGTTGTTGTTATTGGTTCTATTGATGAGAAATTGAGTGGGTACCATGTCTAGGACAATGTCAATTTGATTTTAATTATGATGTTTTCGAAACAGTGTTATTTGGGACCTACTGTGCGTTGTTTTGCAAAAAACAACTAAATGTTTTCAATTTATTGTTTATTTTGTTGTTATTATTTGTTCTATTGATGAGAAATAGAGTGGGTACCATGTTGGACAATGTCAATTCATTTTTAATTATGATAATTTCAAGACATTGTTATTTAGGAACTGCCGAGCGCAGTTTTAGAAAATTCCGCTGAACTATTGCCAATTTCTTATTTATTTTGTTCTTATTACTAGTTCTATTGATGAGAAATGGGGTGGGTACCATGTTGGACAATGTCATTCAATTTTTAATGGTGATATTTTCATGATATTGTTATATGGGAACTGCCAAGCGACGTTTTACAAAAAAAACGAACTATTGTCAATTTCTTACTAATTTTGTTCTTATTACTGGTTCTATTGATGAGAAATTGAGTGGGTACCATGTCTAGGACAATGTCAATTTGATTTTAATTATAATGTTTTCGAGATATTGTTATTTGGGGCCTATCAAGCGTTGTTTTGCAAAAAACAACTAAATGTTTTCAAGTTATTGTTTATTTTGTTGTTATTGTTAGTTCTATTGATGAGAAATGGGGTGGGTACCATGTTGGATAATGTCCCTTTGTTTTAATTGGAATATTTTCGAAATATTGTTATTTGGGAACTAACGAGCGGCGTTTTACAAAAAACAGCCGAACTATTGTCAATTTCTTACTTATTTTGTTGTTATTATTAGTTCTATTGATGAGAAATAGGGTGGGTACCATGTTGGACAATATCAATTCGTTTTTAATTGCGATATTTTCGAGATAATGTTATTTGGTAACTGCTGGACGCGGTTTTGCTAAAAACGGCTAAACTATTGTCTATTTCTTACTTATTTTGTTGTTATTATTATTTTATTGATGAGAAATGGGTAGGGTACCATGTTGGACAATGTCCTTCTGTTTTTATTTACAATATATTCTAAACATTGTTATTTGGGAACCGCCGAGCGTTGTTTTACAAAAAAACAACTAAACTGCTCTCAATTTCTTACTTATTTTGTTGTTATTATTAGTTTTATTGATGAGAAATGGGGTGGGTACTATGTTGGACAATGTCAAATTGATTTTAATTAAGAGATTTTCGCGGTATTGTTATTTGGGTACTGCCGAGCGCCGTCTTACAAAAAACAGCTGAACTGTATTCGTATTTAATTACATTCCTTCATATTGATGGTAGGCAGCTGTGATATGCTGATTCAGTAAAACACTGAAACTTGGTCTTGTTTACCAAATTATGCAAACTTGCGCATTTTAGTTAACCTTGGTATTACCAATGGACCTATACAATCTCTTTACAGAGATGGTATTCACCTTTTTTAGAGGTTTTGTATGTAATTTGAAAAATCCACACTTATCAAACTGGAATTTTCACAAAATCATCAAATAAATATCATTTGATCAGTGTTACCATCTATCAAATTCGTGTATCCAACAGTATTTCTTCTGGTATGTACAAATTCAATTCCAATAGTTTAGAAAAATCATACCTGACGACGCATCATTTACCTCTAGGTAGGTCTTAAACAATATAGTAACAAAATAACATACCATCTTGCAAACCGAAACGTCATTACGCTCACTAATCCGCACTTTTGTTGGTGCCATCGTTAATCCAAAGACGACGAAACGACGAATCGTTAAACCGATCATAAAAACAATTCGGGCTGGGAAATTCGGCGAAATTTATTACACCCCATATGACGTCCAATTGCACAGCCATTTTCAGCGGAGTGGAGATGGTACCCGAGCAGGTAAACGGATTATAATCCATGCAATGTGCAATAACAATTACGGGGGTCGTATTGGATGGGGGTGTATAAAACCCCGATTTGCATACTCACCAAAATCAGTCAGCAGTGACCATCGGCGCAAGCAACAACACTGTCCACTTCGCATTCCACATTCAAGATGTCCGTCTTCGACAGCGCCTTCGATGAGACCGTCACCTCCTGGGTGCTGGTGTACTTCACCGACAGCGATCCCGGTAAGGAGTTCGAGATTATTCCGAGGACACGCATCAGTGTTCAAGATAATGTGGAACTTCGTCCTCGATTGAGGGTGAAGGTATTCTACGGGAAAGCCAAACTCGAAGCGTACGTTGTCAGGGAATCAGGTATGTCAATAATTTCATGAAATTTTTAAAGAAATGTGTTTTAATTGTTTTGTGATTTGTCTATGTTTAGGTGATTATTATTACCTCAAGGAGAACTTCAAGTCCCTGGCAAGTCAGTATACCCAAGACATGGTCCTCAACAGCATCTTTGTCTACGACGCCGAATTCCAACAGAAATGGGAATGCTCCCTGGCTGAAATTGAAGAAGTGCAGGTCCCGGCTGCGAATGGCACAATGGTCCTTGATCCCGCCGTTATTCTGGAGCAGTACAACACCCTGAAGGTCAGATTTGATGATCTTTACCGCGTTCAGAACGAGATGCGCTCCACCATTGTGGTTTTGGTTGAACGCGTGCAGGCTCTCACAGAGAAATGCGAGAGAAATGAAAAAAACAAAGAGACAAAAGATGATACAAAAGATAAAACTGAAACAAAAGACAAAGCTGACACAAAAGATAAAACTGACGATAAAAAAGATGACAAAAAGACTGAGAAAACCCCCAAACCAAAAGAAAAAGAAGTTGAAGAAGTCGAGGAAGAAGAAGATGATGATGACATGGTAAGTTTTCACTTTTTTATACTTTTATACATTTTTTGAAATTCAATCCAAGCAAAAATATTTATTCTCAATATTATGTTCCATTACCAGGTTTATATCGGAGAGAACAGGACCCCAATCCCCAAGGATGTGTACCAGACGATCAACTGGAACAGCTGCTCGGCCGCCACACGTAAATTGCTCATGGCGGTGTTCAGCAAGGACATCCTAGCAACGCACAGCCTCACCGGTAAGCCGAGCCCGGCGTTCCTCAACGCCAATAAGGAAACCAAGAAGAAGTTGGACGCCACCAAGACTTCTGATATTATTGATATCGTCACTCGTCGCTGCCGTGTGCCTGCTACGGCTGTGCGCAATGCCATCACCACCAAATGCGCCGACGAGAACAAGATGTGCAAGAAGCGCAAGCTGAGACACTCTCAGTAAATTGGCTGACACCTGGACTGATACCCTGGACCACTGACAACGATTTTTATATTCCGCTTTAGCATAAGATAGATGTAAGATTTTTTATAGTTTTTATAAGTTTTTAGTTTAGTTTTAGACTTAGAAAAAAAAAATGCTTTATAAAAAAACCAAAAAAATGCTTTAAAAATATCAAAACCAAAAAAATCTTTAGTTTTAGTTTAGAATTAATGATTAGTAATAATTAGATTAAGTTTGCATGATAAAAAAATTTAAAAAACCAATAAAATGAAGAGTTGTAGGCCAAAACATCTCAGTATTTATTCCACCTGAAAAATTTCCTTTCTAATCACCAAAAAATCACGAAAATTTCTCCATCATTCGCTTGTTTTCTAATCAGTGAGCAGCTCCTTGATCAACCTGACGTTGTACCATTGATTAAACGCCAGCCCAGCGATTTTGATGGTAAGCTGCACACGCAGGACCAACGCAATGACATAGAACATCCATACCACCCACATACCGCGCACCACCTTCATATAAACCAAGAGATGGAACATATTTTGCACATCTGTGTACTGCACAGTATAACACTGGTAAAAGGAGGCAAAGATCCATGGGAGCACCCATGGCCAAGAGTTCTAATCAAAAAATAAATTAATAAATCACTTTTACGAAAATTCAACGTTTTTAGGGAGTTTGTACCTCTGTTATACCCTTCATAAACAAAAGCGTGATTATCACCATGATCAGAATAGACACCATGGGAAACTTGACGGTCAAACCTTCAACGCAACAATCAAAATATTCCAAACGTCAGTAAATTCAAGTAATGTACAAAATCCACGCGTGAAATCCGAAAATTAAAAACAGGTAATACTCCAGAAAAAAAGGTATTCCCGCCTCACCTGTAAGCTCCTCATTGAGAGAGATACTAAGGCAGGCGATGATTGACGCTACCATCCACACCAGCTTCATCTTGTGACTCATACTGAGTTTCGGCGGGATGAGATAATGGATGTCCTCCTCATCGCCCTGCTGATTGATCAGCTCGCCGTTCATGTTGATGAGCTTGATGGCGCGGGTACCACCTCTTACAGGACACAAGAAAACACCGCAGTTTGCAGCGGCACGAACGATCGGATCAATGACATATGAATAACAACAAACATTTGTTTCAGTGTCTGTATCAACGACAACGCGAGTCAAAGGCGAGTTGATACCCACCTCTCACAATGTCGTTCCGTAGTGCGATGCGATACAACTGGTACCATTGCCGATGCGAGCATGAGATAACATCATTTATTTCCGGTTTCTGCCGGTCGGGAATCCTTGCGTATTCAGAGGGATATGCTATTATCCTAGGCATAGTCGGCTCGGTAAGTTTTTATTAACTTTCTGCGTGAATTGATTTTTATCCGTGTGTTGATATCCAGGTAATGTGCGCGAATGATATTCGAAAGATCATCGACATGGGTTGTAACCTGCCGTGTCACTTACACCGCGTGCGGAAGTACCTCTGGTCCTCACTGACGAATCATCAGTACAGAGATATGAAACTCGCAGCCACGGCGTTCTCGTTTGAGTATTATTTAATGCTTGTCTTTGGTTCCATCATCGTAAGACATCAACATCAACATCAAAAACAAACAAAATAAGCACATAAACATAATAAAAACGTCTATATTTCAGGGTAGTGAAGTCTTTTTGGTCCCCTGGTTGATCTTCGACGCTTTTTATCTCATTTTTGAGTTCGCCACTACGATTCTCTCGATCATCTACGGCGATCATGTGATTTCCAAACCCAAACACTTTCTGATCTCAATGTTCATGATCTACAACTGGCTGGCGATCTTCTGCGCGTCTCTGAACATGAGTGGCTCATGCCATGATTAATAAATCGTACTCGTCATGTTGAATCATTTATATTTGTTCATTTTCATATATAATAATTAATCATATATTAATTAATATATACAGAGACAGACGGAAAATGTTATAATATGCTTTAATGGGTATTGTGCTGTGCATTATCAAAAAATAACGAGCCAATAGAAACCTATCTGCATCTCGAATATCTCAATCGTCATATAATCGATTTCGCTTCATTCTCTCCATGTTTGCTTAAAGTTTAAAGTCGTCCAAAAAGCGTTCAGCTAAAAATATACCCTCATCGACTTCCTATTTTTCACAATTATCTTCCAGTGGAAGGGCGCTGGCGCGCTCTCTCCATCATCATCATCATCATCATGTCCAACATTTAGTATTACAACGAATATATCACAACTCAAACAATTGAATCAGCGCGCGCCTCCTGTGTGAAATTGTTTCGACCAGTGACATTTTTTTTATTCGAACATAGGCGACTACATATTGTAAGAACGATTGCAATCGAAGCTAGTTACTAGTTCTACATATTGGGCATTTTTGGGTACACCTAGAAACGTGTTGCGCCGTCATGTATTTCTTGTTTTTCATTTGCAACTGTGTCTTTTAAATACCGAATAAATTACATAAATATAATTGTCTATATTGAGTACAGGCATAGACGCTATAGTAGATTATTCCATCATTATAATCGATAAGATTGAAGAGCAATTCTTTTTGTGTTGATAAAGACTTAGAATTAACAGTTTTTTCGGATGCACGCAATGCGTTCGATCCTCAATCATCATATTTTTGTGTGGTTGCGTTCTTCGCGCACTGGCAAAATACATATATTTGAAGCAAGTTTAGACAATTATTTACTAGTTGTTGTCCGTGCGGACGTACGCAATCATTTGTCATCTTAATTAAAAATGTTTAATAAATACGCAGCGAGACGGGGAACTAATCGAAGAACACAAGAGACATGGCGTTTACAAAGAGACATGAGGTGCAGATATTGCTTAGAACACGGTGTGAAACAAACAGTCAAGCAATAAAGCAACTTCTGAGACAGAGACAGAGAGGAATAAGCTACATTTTGCGCTGCTCAATAACTGCCTACCACTAACAATTCCGCTCAACGCGTCCCCAAACCGCCACTGTTTATCAATTGATTTACTTAGCATTTAAAACGTTTTATTTTATCAATTACTCCTAAATATATAAATAAGTATATTATATTCTTAACATTGTATAGTGTAATCTTCAAGTATGTATATCCCATGCATCATTATCTTGCCACGAAAAAAAAAAAATATCTGTCCCTCGATCGTACCCACGCCCCCGCGGCCCTTGTGCATCCGATTAGCAGTGTCCTGCGGCCGCACACTCGCAACCATTGAGTTAGACACCGTGCAACGTGTGTTCTGATATTTATAACAAGCAATAAATATATAAATATGTACATGATGTGGATAAAATTAATTAAAACGTGCGGCTGCGCGCCGCGCACAAATGTTGTGGAATATTGGACGAAGCATAAACGGATGTTAAAAGAACAGCATGTACATGCATACTGTAAGCCTATTTAAAAAAACAAAATATATTATACAATGGTTGATTTGATTTTGTTGATAAAAACGGCGGCGATAAATAACGCATGCGCGTCGAGGACCCGCGCCTGCTTGCGATCATCGTTTTTGTTTGTTTTTTTCTCGGGTTTTGTGTTGTCTGTATCTGTGTTGGTGTTGTTAAATATATAATCAGTAGTAATTATTGTTGTACGCAATACATTACAAATTGTCCCAAATTGCAAATCTTCGCCTGTCGCCTTGCTTCGAAATCGCATCATTTCAAGATTAGTAAAAATTAGAATTCTCTGTAAATGATTTATGTGTGGGGTTTTGTGTGTGTAAATGTGTTTGTTTCAATTTTTTTTTTGTTTCTTTCCTTAACGCTCCAGAATTTTGCTTAAAGGTGGCGGATTTAGCGGCACTCCCAGACTTTCACCGACTGATCCACGCTGCCGGAGATCACGTACGGATGAGATTTGTGGAAATCTGTGATTGGAAAAGAAGACACACACAAAGCGTAAGAAAAAACAGTGTTTTACGTTGGGTTTGCGGGTACATCTTACCAACGGATGTACAAAAGTGTTTGTGAGCTTCCAGGGTCTTCATGCACCTCTTGTGGGTGAGATCCCACACACGCAAGGTTTTATCGTCGCCAGCTGAGACCAGAAACTTGCCACCTGGATGGAATACAACGCCTCGCACCCAGTTATCGTGTCCGGTGAGCGTAATCAGACAAATTCCAGCGTTCACATCCCATATTCTAATATTTTTCATATAAAAATTAATTTATTTCATTATTTAAGCTATAAATATTAACCTGATATTCCTATCTCTGGATCCACTCGCCAGGAACGGCCCAAGATGTTCCCCCTTGCGATTATCCGCACCTGCACCCTCATTAATCGCCGAACTAGTCAAAGCCGGAGCCCAAGCGACGCATTCAACCACATGATCGTGACCACGCAACTCCTGCCTGCACTCCTTATTCGCCACCAGCCACACACGCACGGTGTGATCATTGGAGCAACTGGCAAGCATCGCGCCATCAGCGGACGCTCGCACCATCCTTACCCATTCACGATGTCCGTTGAATGTCTTCACGCAGTACCCATTCGCGACCTCCCACATCTTAATCGTGCGATCACGACTCGCCGAGACGACAAAGTCGCCAGCGGGCAGGAATGCCACGCTGGAGACGTTGTGCTCGTGCCCGAGCATCGTTTTCATACAATCGAACGTCTGAAAGTCCCACAGCTTGACGGACATGTCCGCGCTGCAGGAGGCAAGCACTTTACCGCCGGCATCGAAAGCGATGTCCTGGATTGAGTCGGTGTGACCCTTCAGCGTGCGTTCATATTCCCCTGCTTCGAAGTCCCATACCTTGATGGTGGCGTCCTCGCTGGCAGACACCATTAGGTTGAAGACCGGGTGAAAGATCACGCGTGTTACCGGCGCTCTGTGACCTGCACACGTATGTTAAACCTGTGTTAGTTTATTGCACATGTATAACATGTGCACAACATGCAAATTATTCCTAAGATTTATCCGAAACGAGTCAGAGTCAACACAAAACATGAATGAGGTGACGTTTTGACTCAATTTCGTTGATTTTATAGAAAGGGAACCACACTGCTAACACACTAAAGGACATGTTAAGCAGCTCAAGCCCTTTCATTGGTAAATTTTCAAGGAATTTTCGTTAATTTGAAGGATTGATACTTTTTTTTTCATAAATGATCATCGCATGCATAAAATTTTCATCTTTTTCATAGTCATGCATTAATTTTCCATGAAAAAATGACTTTTTACTTAATTTAATTGAATATTAATCGTACCAAAGAGGTAAATAGTTGTTTTTAGGTAGAAATATGTTTTTTAAAGGATTGGTAAATAGGATTTGGGATTTAGGAAAGAATGAACACGAAACAAGTAAAAATTTGTATTCTTTTCAGTTGTCTTTACCAGCGAGGCTGTGTTTTTCCGGCGGACGTGGAATCCACTCGCTGGGGTTGCGCTTGCCGCGCGTGGGCGCGCCATCGATGAACTCCTTCTCAGCTTCGCTGAGCTTCGACTCCAGATCCATCACCTTCTTCTGCAGCCGCAGCACCGACGTCCACTTCTTCTCCAGGAGGCCGGCGAACTTGCGCTCGACGTCTCCGGGCATATCGGCCTCCTTCTTGAACGCCTCCAGCGCGTCCATGTAGCCATTGGTACTCAGGTAATCAGCGACCGCTTTGTTCCTGCAAGGCAAACACACCCATTACTCATTCGTCAAGGTCGCGCTGTCGAACTTTGAATACTACTTCAACCATTCACACACAACTCGAGGTGAATCACATTGGTTTCATTAAGTTGAAGATTATTTACGTTATTACATCACGCAATCAAGTGGTTTGCATGAACATCTCGCACACCGCGCACGTGTCGCAGCAAACATTGATGAATCATGCATGCAGGACAGGCAGTCATTAATGTCTCAATCGAAAGATGTCAAAGTAAACCTCGTTTTTTGTGTTGTGTGTGTGCGCTATGAATGAAAGAGTGATGAATTAATGAAGACTTACAGCTCTTCTCGCTGTCGTTGTGATAGCACCATTTTCATGATCAGGTTCCAGGGCACCTGCTGCCAAAGTAGAAAATTCTTTGACACCACCAGCCAATAACGTATGTAAAAACCAACAGCCGCAGCGAATTAAAATCGCATCACCTGCAACAATACACAGCGTAATCAGGCGGCGCGCGGGCAACTATCAATCGAATCAATAAATCACACGCAAATCAGCGCCGCTGGGTTTGTTTTGCGCAATTGTTGGGCCACTCGCGTATTCACACCCGTCGCAGCCGGAATTTGCTGGCGGTGGTGGCGGGCCGGGTTGGCTGCGAGTGTCATGCACGTCGCCAGCGGGCCCGTAGAAGCAGGAGGGTGAAATAATCAATATGAGAGCGCGGCGCGCGGGCGGCCATTTTGCGTTTCGCCTACGTGCGCCCAACGTCAGTTGGAGCGTATACAACGCTCGCCAGCTCGCTGCCGCCCATCTAGAAGGCATTCGTACTTACACGGTGAGCTAAAGGGACGCGCTAGGCACGTTGGTTGATATCCACACGGCCGATGGCGGGTTAAAAACGCACGTTCGAAGACGACGCGTACGTACTTCGCGAACGCAGAACGGAGCGGATTCGCGAAAACTGACTGCGGCACTGACACACTGAACAGCGATGAAAACAAATGTAGACGACGTTGTCACAGAGACCTGTAACCATGCGCAACCAGTCATGCTCTGTGCTCGCAACAATACGGTTAAGAATCTATTAATAAACAGCAAATACATATCAAACACGTAAGAAAACACCACATTTAATTATATTTAATCTTATAAACATTAAACTACATTAAATAAGATTATTTTTGGTAGTTTAAAGCATTTAGTGAACTTGTGAAGGTTTCGTATTTATCCGCTAGGGGGTCAGCTGTTTAAGTTTTTGACTGTTTGACTGCGTTTAAGAATTTATTAATAAACAATAAATACAAATTTAACACGTAAAAAAACTTAACTAGTTAATACAGTAAATGTTATAAACTTTAAACTAAATCAAATAAGTTTCTTTTTAGTTGATTATGTTTTTATATTTATCCGCTAGGGGCCCGCTTGTAACTAGTACGCTGATACGCCACCAGAGCGCACGTCGTGTATCATATCGGTTTTAAATTAAATTACACATAAAATCGTAGCCTTCGCGTCAGTATAAATGTTTTTAATCTCAATAGACAAACGCGAAACATAAGATACGTAGTAATTCGGTGATCAAGGCGCATGTGTCCATGTTTTCGACGGTGTTTGACTGCGTTTGACTTTCTCGCTCGCCGCCATACTTGCAAGGCTTGAGTGTAACCTCCGTACGACACAGTAGCAAACACAGTCGCGCGACGCGAACATTGAACACACGGTTGCCCGCGTCGCCGACGCCGCCGTCGCAATTAAATCCACACGCTGAGCTGCCGGCATGTGATTGTCGCCCGCGAGTGTCCGCATCGCGATGTCTGTGCATTACAAGTTCAAGAGTGCGCTCGAATACGACACGGTCACGTTCGATGGCCTGCACATTTCCGTCAAGGACCTGAAGATCGCCATCATACAGCAGAAACGCATCGGCAAGAACACCGACTTCGATTTACAGGTCACCAACGCGCAGACCAAGCAAAGTACGTAACTATCCACCGGTAATATTGCATGATATTGTCTAAATCTCGCTGTCCTTATGTAGTCTACGAAGATGAGCAGTCGCTGATACCAAAAAACACATCGTTGTTGATCGCGCGCGTGCCGCAGGCAGCGCAGACGAAGGCGAAGACCTGGGAAGGATACGGTCATGAGACGGTGCAATCATCGCGCCAGGATGACGGCGGGCCGATCGCCAAAGCGATGGACTTGGCGAGCCTCGACGCGTCTGAAAGCGATAAGATTCTCGCCATGATGAGCCAGAGTACACAAGACTACGATCCCAGCAAGTAAGCGAAACAATATTCTTGAAATCCACATCAAATTACTTCATTCAATGCTATTGTGAACAATTGGCTAACCATGCTTGTGTTCTTTTCTTTGCGTAACACGAACGAAGGTTTACCACCAAGTAAGTGTTGTACTCTACTGGAAATTTGCGATCTCGTTCACATTTCATACACAGTTGTAAAGCATGTCTTGATTGTATATTGTATATAAATGTTTGGATCATTCTGTGGTTAATGTGTTGTACTTCCAGTTACGTAAAAATACGTGGCTCTAACCAGGTTGGGCAAGTGCCGCACAACTATCGGTGTTATAAATGCCACCAGGCGGGTCATTGGATCAAAGATTGTCCATTGTCACAAAGTGGTGTAAGTAGTTGATATTTAGTTATTTTTTCGGGTATATTATGACTGTTTGCTGCGTTTGCAGGATACGATAGACATCAAGAAGTCAACGGGCATTCCACGTTCATTCATGGTGGAAGTAGAAGGACCGCAGGTGCAAGGAGCCATGATGACACCGTACGGATCGTTTGCTGTTCCTGCTTTGGATCATCAAACCTACACGCAGAAAAACCAGCCGGCGCCGGCGCCACTGCCCGTGCAGAAAACCGACATACCCGAAGATCTCGTCTGTTCGATCTGCAGCGACCTGCTCACCGACGCGGTTATGATTCCCTGTTGCGGTAACAGTTTCTGCGACGAATGTATTCGAAGCAGTTTGCTGGAGAGCGAGGAGCACGAGTGTCCCGACTGTCACGATCGCGATATCTCGCCGGGCACGTTGATCCCGAATCGGTTCTTGCGGAATAGTGTAACTAATTTTAAAAGCACAACCGGGTATGTTAAGCGGCAAATATATAAACCGGCGGTTATCGGGCAAAATTCTAATAGGAACGTGCGGGAGACCGGCAAGAACGGCAAGGTTAAAGATGAGCCGGTCGAGAAGGTGAGCGAGTCCGTTGAGGTTAATTCGCAGCTAGCGGCCACAGCCAACGACGATACTGCCGATTCCACCGAGAAGACAATCATCAGTGAAGCGGACTCGACCGAAACGCCGAAAACGCCGCTTTCGGACGGTACGAAAGAACCGCCGCCGACAAAGACAGTAACCGTTAATCACGCGTTATCCGAACTGCCTCCAGGTGTATCTCCAACCCCGGAAAAGTCCCCCGATGTAAGTCCTAACCTTAATTCCAAACCAATTGCAGAGAAAAGTTTACCATCTCCTCGAGATACTTCAAGACCTGCGCCGGTCGAAACAGAGGAGCGTTCTGGTACACCCACAGTGGACGAACCAGGCGCCCCACCTGCTGCAGCACCGCCGCCTTTCGTGAATATGATAAACGGTGGTGATAACTTTTCACCGTATTCAGTCCCACCTCCTATTGATCTTCCACAGCATCCCATTCCTGCGATGCACTCGGCGAGTTTACCATTGCAGGGGTACGACCAGCCGCCGCGCGTGAACATGCATTATAACCAGCCGCCGATGAGCCATTATCCGCCGCCGAACTATCGTATCCCGCCGCCGGGTCAACACAATTACATGTACAATCCGCCGCCGCGTAATAACATGTATGATATACCACATACCGCTCAGCACGGTATGCCACCACAGGAGAACTACTATCCCAACAATAATAGGGCACGTCCTCGGGAGTATCCTGTGCGGCCAATCAACGTGCGGACACCTCCGGGCATCATTGATGATCCATTGGAGGCGTTCAATCGTATGCTGGCCGAGAAGGACGAGCGCGAGAGACGTGCCAAAGCCAACCGGAAGGGTCGAAGCTACAGTCGGAGTTCTTCACGGAGTTTTAGTCGTTCTCCACTGCCTAGGAGAAGATCTTCTCGATCACCACGCAGGCGGAGCCGTAGTAATTCGTTCAGTATTAGCAGGTACCGGTTTTGTATTAATAATAATAATAATAATTAATAATAATAAAAATATATCATAATGATATCTCTCATATGACATAATGTGATGTCGTTGGGACTTGCAATTCAATTTATTGGAGCATTGCAGATCTCGCTCACGTTCTTACTCTTCTAATCATCGCACTTCTCCATACCGGGATTACTCGCCGCGGAGACGTGTCAACAGCAGGTATCGTACTTCACCGCAAACATCGCCGTCGAGGTAACGTGGAAAAACATTTGACATTTGTCATTTTTTTGATTTTGATTGCAATTTTTGCAGGTATCGCTACAGGGACGCACCTGATCGAGAGCGGGAAAGGGATAGGGAACGTGATCGTGAACGAAGGTACAATTCCAGGGAGCGTGAGAGGGCTGCAGATATACGACCAAGGGAACGCGAACGAGAACGTGGGCGTGAAAATGACTATGGGCCGCCGCGGATGGATATGGAGTCGAGGGATTATTCACAACGTCCGCAGTCGTTGTTGGGTGTTGGACCAGGGCCGGGATCTGGCCCTCCGGATGGGTATAACTATTATAATAATAATTATGATCGCGGGGAACAATCACGACCTGGTGGACCGAAGTGGCTGCAGGGAGCTGGTAGGCATGAGTATTATCTACCACACTCCCATCCGCCGGCACACCAGATCCACCACTCGGATCAGCAAATTTCACCGTACCATCAGCATCATTCTTCTGGTAATGCCCCGCCGCCCATGTCAAACAGGTACGAGATGTTTAGTTGTAATATTTGTTATTTATTCATCAATATGTATTTTGAAGGTACCCATCACATGATTACCCGCAGAACAATCAAAATCCTCCTCCTTTGATGTCGAATGTATTCCCTGCTGAAATTGGTCCTCCATCACTGCTCCAACAGCAGCCTTTCAATGATGTGCTGCCACCTGGCATTGACCAACCACTCCCACCTGGCGAAGATCTACCTCCGCGTTACGGTGGGCATGTCCGACCACCTGCAGACCATAGCGAGAACTCAAATGCGCCTGGAGATGGCCGAAGTGTTGACAGAGGTAGGGAACGTGAGCGCGATCGCGAACGACAAGATATTCACCCGCATGTCCCACGCGATAAAGAAAGGGATCGGGATAGAGATCGTGAAAGGGATCGGCGTGGACACAGTCGTGATCGAGAACAACGGGATCGTGGTAGGACAGGGGAACGGGAGCGCGATCGGGGTCGGGATAGGGAAAGTACCAATGACAAATCAAAAGAGCGACATAATAGTCGTTCACCCAGTAGACAAGCGAGTTCTTCTCAAAAGAGAAAGTCACGCAATGACAGTCCCAAGAATAGTGATGACAAGAAAAAAGACAAAGATAAGGATAAGGACAAGGGTAAAGAAAAAGAGCGCGCAACATCCGATGAAGAAAAGTCCAAGAAATACAAGGATAAGAAGAAGAAGCGTGAGAAGAAGGACAGCGATAAAAAGAAAAAGAAAGATAAAAAGGACAAAAAGGATCAACACAAGAAAGAGGAACGCGAGCAACGTAAAGAGGAGAAGGGTAAAGACCGTGATAAGCCTAAAGACGGTAGTGCAGTAGTCGAGCAGCAATTAACCAACTCAATGTCTGCACCTGAAACAACTGCAGTCCCTAGTTCTTCTGCCGAAGAACCCAAACTGTTGCCAATGATACAGAGTTCTCAAAAGGAAGAGAACTCTACCCTTTTACTCGACTGCTCCGACATTCCTCTGCAAGATCATCTCGACTTGTTGAGAGCGGACGATTCTTCAATTCCATATGAACCGGTACCCGCTGATGAAGTCCGGACGAGGACATCCATTTCTCCAGTTGAGATAAATCCCTGCAAGGTGACCACTCCGGAATTACTCACGAATCCACCGAAACCCGACGAGGATGTCTTGGAGTTGTACACCGGAGAACTCAAGTCTGAATTAGACAAGGAGATGTTGGCTCCTCTGCCCGAACCGTCCAAGTGGGAAGTGGATGATGACCACTCACAGAACAGCGCGACAGAGAACGAGGCTACATTCGACAAGTCAAAGGTCACTCAGGATGTGCTCAAACGCGCCGAGAACGCGATTTTCGCCAAGGCGATCAACGCCATCCGCCCGATCGAAATTAAAAAGATCAGCGGGGATCGGGCCAAGCTGTATTCGGGCGAAAAGGATAAAGAGGAGGTGTCTCCGTCCATGAAGGAAGAGAATAATCCTAAAGAGAAGCTGAAAGAACAAGACAGCGAGAAGGACCAGCCCAAACCACCACCAGCGCGACTTTCGGTAAAGGAACGCCTTGGACACAAAGTTGATGACTTGGAGAGGATTGTGCGTATTGGTCACAAAGAACCACACAGGTCACGTACCATAAGTCCCAATTCTAAGCGGGCTTTGGAAAATAAAGAGAGACGCATCACGGAGGTGGACACACGAGCTGGGCGTCGTGGGGGCGGTGGTGTGGACGATAGAAGTCGAGAAAGGGAACGCGACAGAGATCGCCGCGATCGCGGACGAGGCGATAGACGTGAAGGGCGAAGAAGCAGTCGGGATCGCGAGGCGGAGTATCGCAAGGACGACAAATTAAACATGGGTAACAAGGAGCGAATCCGTAATCGTCTGGGAGAACGCGAAGATATTCGGGACCGTGGACCAGGCCCATCTGTAAATCGATCAACCAGTGACAAACGGAAACGTAGCCGGTCAAACAGCGCCTCGTTTTCGAAAGACCGAAAAGAAGAACGGCATCGAAAAAAAGAGAAAAAGACAAAACGGGACAAAGACAAAGAGGGTACCCGAGAGGCAGATAAGGAGCGTGAACGAACCAGAGATCGAGAACGTGATCGACGGAAGCGTAAAGAAACCGAAATCGGTCCGCCAACAAAAGACAAACCCATGGAGGAAATGAAACATAACGAGAATAGAACAATGGTTATGAATGGTGAAATTGTAGGTCCTTCACATGCAGTGCTGCCGCCTGAAATCACCCGCAAAGATATCCTGAACGAACAAGACTTCGTACCCGACTACGATGCTGAATCCGAGCATGAGCAAGCGCCGCAGTCTCTGGAAGAATCGAAAAAGCCGGATTCGCCCGCAAAGAAAAAACGTACGGAGAGTTTATCAAATAGCTCATCGGATTCAAGCAGCGACGACGAGCGCAAACGCAAAAAGTATAAAAAGCACGCTAAGAAAAAGAAGCGTCACGATTCATCATCATCTACTTCCAGCGATAGCAGCTCCAGCGATGACGACAAGGAGAAAACCGCCAACAAGCGGCGCAAGCACAAGAAGAAGAAGAAGAAAAAGAAGAGCAAGCACAAGTCCTAAAAATGGCGGCCGGCCCTGCCAGATAGCAAAGTGATATGTGTATGAGCGAATGTATGAATGTACGATTGTGAGAATGATGCGGCAGCATGTGGAGACCGCCTCCGGTGATAGATGAACTATAGTTACGGCGACGCGGGTGACATCGTCCCCACAATGTGCTGTCCTTTGGCGTGTGGTGAGTGTTTGCTGTCATTGTACTTTATGTCTATTCGCCTGAACAGGTTTATTAATTGCCACAATTGTCGCGGTGGGTTTACGCGCCGCGAATGATTGCATTTTGTATCAGGCTGCAGTCATTCTTGCGACAAATAAAGCCGTTGCGATTCTGTGCGTATATGAATATATAATAATTTAAGGATTTATAGCTGCAAGGAATTTATATATATGACTTTTATTTACTGATTTGGTTTGCTCCGCTTTACAAACTTACAGCCAGGAAAATATATCTATATATGATGCGTGCGATTGTAATTGTAAGGGCGACTAAATAAATTCAAACTGATCAATTATATTCTGTTCCTCTGTATTTTATCCGAATTAAGATTTAATTGTTTCAAAGCATTTTGAACACATAAGAAAAGGTAAACAAACATTTATATTACACACACGTCCAATGTTTGTATGTGGGTAGTGTCTGAACAGCCTTGCGATCTCACGTCGCACTGGAATTCGACAGGTTTGTTCTTATTTCATATTGTCAGGTGATGCGCGTACGATATTCGTGTATAGTTTTGTACTATATACGCGACCGTGTGATGGCACTGCGTGTATCGTTTGCCTACACTGCAGGAATAAAATGAGTTTCGCCGTATCCGACGGATGGTTCGCACGCGGTCGTCGCGATTCTTCTTTCTCCGGATTTAATTCGGTAACGCGTATTACTTTCGGTGTTCTTAGTGATTATTGCTGACTATTGTGTCTCGCTTATGATTTATCGCTTATAAGATGTTCGCAAAGTGCAAATATTGTGTATTTGTTCGTGAGCAGGGTGCCGACGGATGCCGTTTACGATGGAAATTTTACCGTAATAACCAGTAAGTAAATCTTCCAATCTTTCATATTCTTCAATCTGTTGGTTGCTATCGCTTTTAGTTTGAGAGATATGCACTATTCAAGTTTATTGACTTAAATATGACGTTGATTTTTTTGTTTATCTAGTTATATTGCAATTAATCGCAATTGTATAGTTGAATCTTATTCGGTGTACCGTAGCAGGGTGGCGGTAAAAGTGTTTCCCATTCATGGCATCGGTAGAAGTGACTCGTATTTAGGGAACCGCATGAGTATGATTTTTTCTTCTCTTAGATTTCCAATTTAACTAGCTTATTTTATAGAAAATTGTCCGTAGATTAACAAAAATTGTAAAATAGTGTATTGTTTATTTCTATATCTATCAGCAAGCGCGAGCATTCGACACGAGAATTGTGTTTGTTTTGAACACAACTTACACTTTCTTATCGCATTCGCCGCGAGAATGCAACGCATGAGATCCCCTCACGCCGCACGTTGCCGCATCGTAGTTTTGTTTTGATCGCGGATAACGTGCCAAAGCGATTCGCGCGCCATCGACGCACTGACTATGCGCATCTCTTGCTTTCTTATCATAAACTGCCGCGTCGTTTCTTGCACAGTTTGCAGCCAGTTTCGTGCCGATATCTAGTTAATCCAGACGTATTTTACGCGACTCGTATTGTTTGTACGGACTTCCACTTTCCAAATTTGTATTAGTATTATATTAGATCATCAATCGACTATTTAATTTTAGTTTGTGACGAAAGTAAAGTTATTTCCTCTTTGCGCGTTTATTTCCTATAAATGTCGGTTTAGTGTATCTCCTTCATGTTGATTTGATAGTATCATTAGGATGACCAATTGTGCTGGTGTAAGTACTCGATACTTTTAACTAAACACTCCACTGTGTGATTATAATAAAGTCGTATGAAATATTTTTGTTTTACTTACGTTTCTTTTGTTTTATTTACAGTATTAGCCGTGGCTTGGAGTCCCACGAGTTTGGCATTGGTATGTTTACAATTCAATTATGTTTTTCATTATAATTTCTGCGTTGTTTTGATTTATCGCGCTCCACCGCGTGTTGCAAAAACATCAGAGAGTCGCGTACCCGGATGATGCATCTGAAAATTAACTGTTAGGATTTGTTTAGAAGATATTCACTGTCGAAAATTTCCTCACATTTCCGTTTTAACTATCATATCTTATAGAGATGAGGTCGTAGATTAAGACGCTGCGATCAGATCTTAATTATCTCTTTTAGTTTAGGAGATATTCGCGATTGAATGAAATGAGCAAAAATTGCAAAATGTCACTTTTTAGCACTTTTAGTCGCGTTTTTCGACCTTTTACTGTAGGAAATATAATTATTTTATATTTTTATCAGATAGGGAATTTTCCAATCTTTCATTATCAGCTATTCGTTGGTTGTTATCGCGTTTAGTTTAAGAGATATGAATTTTTAAAAATCGTCGAAAAAAAAGTATCAAGCACCCCCCCTTGGCAATTTTTTCTTAAGACTTAAAATTTCATCTCTCAGATTTCCCTTTTAACTATCCTATCTGATAGAGATAAGTTCTTAGATTAAGACGCTGCGATCAGATCCAATGTATCTCTTTTAGTTTACGAGATGGTGAATTTAATTCTGTATCCCCCTGTATAGAAACTTATTGCAAGAAAATTCCGTAACGCGAGTTATATTGAAAGTTGTGTGTGTGCGCCGTAGTACTCGTTGCGCTAGGAAATGTAGTTTGTTTGTTATAACTCGTGAAGGCGGTGTTACAATTAGTTCGAAATAATTTTCCTAGATGGTGAATTTAATTCTGTATCCCTCTGTATAGATATTTATTGCGAGAAAATTCCATAACGCGAGTTAGATTGAATGTTGTGTGTGACGCCGTAGTACTCGTTGCCCTAGGAATTGTAGTTTTATTACGCAGCTTTAAATTTGAACATCACGACTAATATAGGTTTGTTTCTAGGAGTCTCTACTACCGCCTTCGTACGGTGCCTTGAATGGGAGTCACTTCAGTCGCTACCTTCGTACGGTGCCCTAAATGGGACTCTTTATGGATCCTGTAAGAATAATTAATTTAATTTATGTATATATGTATATTTCATTTATATAAATATTTTCCAGTTGTTGGATAAAGCATTCGCTAATTCTGAGATGGCCAAGTTTTTCAATAAGGACCAACTGCAGAGGTTTCGTGGTACTGTTGGAGTGCGTATTGAAGATGATGTTTTGATTATGTTATATGTTGGCAATCTATAATATTTTATATTTTACTATTCTGTTATTCTGGTTTATAGTGTCTAAGAAATTGAAGATTGGATTGCCGGTGTTGATGATGATTCCAAACACGATTGAATGAATTTACAACGTTTTGAAGCTGATATTGATATCATATTATGTATCTAGTTAAATGGTATAAAAGAGCATTATATAATTGCATATTATTATCCTGTTTTCATGCATGTATTGTTAAAAATGCTGTATATATTGAGAAATTGAGTTTGTGATTCTACATGTTTGAATAAAATTGTTGTTTTATATTTTTGACTATAAATTTTTATTGTTTTATTTGCTCCAAACGGGCAACATAGCTCGCAACATCGTTACTCCTTTAATTTATCCATAAATCCCTTAAACTTTAATGGAAATGCCACTGCTAGATATGAGAAATAGTTCAAAATCAATTTTATATTTTATCAATATTAATTTAAAAACAGTATCACTAGTGCCATCTATCCATGAGTAACTAAACTACGTCGCTATTCGAAATGACCTGCTACTCACCAGCCTACTGCACTTTCTGCGATCCTAATATTCAAATGATTTTTGTTACCAATTTCAATGATTTCTCGACAAAATTTGTTGAGAAATTTGCTGAAATGTTGCTGCTCATCAGTCTGTGGTATTAGGAACGCAGAAAGTGGACATAGGCAGTTCCCGCAAAATTATTATATATATTATTTCAATTTGTTTCGGTAGATATTTCATTTGTTCTATAAAATTGCAAATAAGGCCTAAGCAGTTAATGCTAGTAAAAAAGTTACTAAAATAATTGTTGTAGAATTAAATTGTCGATCAGAATTCGAAAACTGAATTCAAAAAATCCAACTTTTAATTTTTATCATAAAAAAGAGAAATCTTTTGCCTTTTTTATAACAAAATCTTTTCCTTAAAAATTTTTTGTGCCATTTTGATGATTTTTCAATAATGATGCCACCTTGTAGAGAATTTTTCAAGGATCAAGATTATGTAGTTCTTTATTTTCTAGCCCTCTTAATTGTCGAGATCCTTCAGAATTGGAAAACTGAATTTGCTGAATAAAGATTTTTAAACATTCATTTTACCCGCCATTACTCGCCTCTTTTATTATCATACCTCCTCAGTCTTTCTGCGATCCGAATACCAAAACCTGAGTTTCGACTGTTTCGAGTCCAAATTTTGTGTCATTTTGCCTCCCAGAGTCGACAAAATAAAGATTGAATATTAGGAGCGCAGAAAGTTGAGGAGGCTGATAAAGTTTTCGCGGTAACTAGTAATGTGCTGCCTCTGGTGGCGACGGACCGAAGCTCAACATTTTCAGTTGTTGTAGTTTCTAATTGATAGATGGCACTAGCATGCACTTTTCAAAATAAATGATTTAAGGAATCGTTAAATACGTGATCAGATAGAAATAACAAAAATAATTATAATTAGAAAAACTTTGAAATATTCTTTATTAAAGAAAACACACAAGCATACATTTTGGGAGTCAATTTGTGTAATAATCACAAAATTTATTTAAGATAATGAAATTTATTACTAACAATCTGATGCAAGAATGGTCCTTTTACGATGTTAGAGTCAGGTGCAAAATCCCTAAAACAAGCAAAAATTAGTCCTTCGAACATAAAAATGCAATTTTGGGGTCAATTTGTGAGATAATCACAAAAGTTATTATGGAAAATGATAAAGAAATTTAATACTTACAATCTGATGCAAAAATGGTCCTTCTACGATGTCAGACTCAGGTGCAAAATCCCTAAAACCATCAAAAATTAGTCCTTCGAACATAAAAATGCAATTTTGGGGGTCAATTTGTGAGATAATCACAAAAGTTATTAAGGAAAATGATAAAGAAATTTAATACTTACAATCTGATGCAAAAATGGTCCTTCTACGATGTCAGACTCAGGTGCAAAATCCCTAAAACCATCAAAAATTAGTCCTTCGAACATAAAAATGCAATTTTGGGGGTCAATTTGTCAGATAATCACAAAAGTGATTATGGAAAATGATAAAGAAATTTAATACTTACAATCTGATGCAAAAATGGTCCTTCTACGATGTCAGACTCAGGTGCAAAATCCCTAAAACCATGAAAAATAAGTCCTTCGAACATAAAAATGCAATTTTGGGGGTCAATTTGTGAGATAATCACAAAAGCTATTATGGAAAATAATAAAGAAATTTAATACTTACCAGCTGATGCAAAAATGGTCCTTCTACGATGTAAGCCTCAGGTGCAAAATCCCTAAAACCATGAAAAATAAGTCCTTCGAACATAAAAATGCAATTTTGGGGGTCAATTTGTGAGATAATCACAAAAGTTATTATGGAAAATGATAAAGAAATTTAATACTTACAATCTGATGCAAAAATGGTCCTCCTACGATGTCAGACTCAGGTGCAAAATCCCTAAAACCATGAAAAATTAGTCCTTTGAACATAAAAATGCAATTTTGGGGATCAATTTGTGAGATAATCACAAAAGTTATTAAGGAAATTGATAAAGAAATTTAATACTTACAATCTGATGCAAAAATGGTCCTTCTACGATGTCAGACTCAGGTGCAAAATTCCTAAAACCATTAAAAATTAGTCCTTCGAACATAAAAATGCAATTTTGGGGGTCAATTTGTGAGATAATCACAAAAGTTATTATGGAAAATGATAAAGAAATTTAATACTTACAATCTGATGCAAAAATGGTCCTTCTACGATGTCAGACTCAGGTGCAATATCCCTAAAACCATGAAAAATAAGTCCTTCGAACATAAAAATGCAATTTTGGGGGTCAATTTGTGAGATAATCACAAAAGCTATTATGGAAAATAATAAAGAAATTTAATACTTACCAGCTGATGCAAAAATGGTCCTTCTACGATGTAAGCCTCAGGTGCAAAATCCCTAAAACCATGAAAAATAAGTCATTCGAACATAAAAATGCAATTTTGGGGGTCAATTTGTGAGATAATCACAAAAGTTATTATGGAAAATGATAAAGAAATTTAATACTTACAATCTGATGTAAAAATGGTCCTCCTACGATGTCAGACTCAGGTGCAAAATCCCTAAAACCATGAAAAATTAGTCCTTTGAACATAAAAATGCAATTTTGGGGATCAATTTGTGAGATAATCACAAAAGTTATTATGGAAAATGATAAAGAAATTTAATACTTACAATCTGATGCAAAAATGGTCCTTCTACGATGTCAGACTCAGGTGCAAAATCCCTAAAACCATGAAAAATAAGTCCTTCGAACATAAAAATGCAATTTTGGGGTCAATTTGTGAGATAATCACAAAAGCTATTATGGAAAATGATAAAGAAATTTAATACTTACCAGCTGATGCAAAAATGGTCCTTCTACGATGTAAGCCTCAGGTGCAAAATCCCTAAAACCATGAAAAATAAGTCATTCGAACATAAAAATGCAATTTTGGGGGTCAATTTGTGAGATAATCACAAAAGTTATTATGGAAAATGATAAAGAAATTTAATACTTACAATCTGATGTAAAAATGGTCCTCCTACGATGTCAGACTCAGGTGCAAAATCCCTAAAACCATGAAAAATTAGTCCTTTGAACATAAAAATGCAATTTTGGGGATCAATTTGTGAGATAATCACAAAAGTTATTATGGAAAATGATAAAGAAATTTAATACTTACAATCTGATGCAAAAATGGTCCTTCTACGATGTCAGACTCAGGTGCAAAATCCCTAAAACAAGCAAAAATTAGTCCTTCGAACATAAAAATTCAATTTTGGGGTCCAATTTGTGAGATAATCACAAAAGTTACTTATGAAAATGATAAATAAATTAATTACTTACAATCTGATGCGAGAATGGTCCTTCTAGGATGTCAGACTCAGGTGCAAAATCCCTAAAACAAGCAAAAATTAGTCCTTCGAACATAAAAATTCAATTTTGGGGTCCAATTTGTGAGATAATCACATAAGTTATTAGGGAAAATGATAAAGAAATTTAATACTTACAATCTGATGCAAAAATGGTCCTTCTACGATGTCAGACTCAGGTGCAAAATCCCTAAAACCATCAAAAATAAGAATACATCAAATAAATAATTTAATTCCGCATCTCTAAACACCACGCTGAAGTTAGTGAATCGCCTAGATTGCGCGTAAACCCGAAAAAATACAAACATTTCCCGAGAAAGGGTGAGAAGAAATTAACGCGTTTATGCTAATTTTCGCGGGTTGCAGGTCAAATTCCTGCAACAAACAAATACAATCTGACGGTGAATTTAATTCCGCATCTGTAGATACCGCGCTGAAGTTAATAAGCCAATAAGGTCGCGAGCAAACACAAAAAATAGAAGCATTTCACGAAAAAGGGTGACAAAATCACACTTTTATGTTAATTTTCGCGGGTTGCAGGTGGAATTCCTGTCACTCAATTTGCGATTACGGGGTAAATTGTTAGCTTTTCGCTTATTGAAATTACGACAAAATGCAAGATATTGCAGCCATGTGATACTTTACAAAAACAAATAGCACGCGTGCAAACAACACCACAGCGCGACACAAACTGCGTTTGCAAAACATAGCCTGCGGCAGCCAGCCTGCAAATACCGGCACGACTGCTTCCGGTACATGCGCCGTGTAGTATCGAAAATCGCAAAAATAAACAAATTTGAATTAGAGCCTGCACTAGCGCCATCTGCTTTCGAAAACACAAACTAGCTTGACTCAAAGCACTAGCGCCATCTAGTGTCGGCGGTACCTAGTAACGCTATATTGTAGGAAACTACTGCAACTACCAACACTTGAATCATTGAAATATTTTGAACGATGAGAATTGGAAAAGGTGCCAAACTATTACCTATCAATTATATTAAATTTCGCATCCTCGATTTGTAGATCTAGTTTATTACACCATTCAATTAAAATTTAACTTTTAATTTCCTATTATTATTATATAAATTAAAATAGTAACCACCCATTAATTACTATCTGAGTTATTACGCTCACAACTAGAATACCTAGACTTCTTTTTCTTGCTTGACTTTGAGGCCTTTTTTTCCTTCTTTGGTTTCTTCAAGTTAGTGTCTGGCTTCTTATCAACAATTTCTTGCATTGGTTCCTGCTTAACCTGATAAATAGGCAGTCTGTAGGGCAATTTAATGTCACCTACAATCTGATCAGCTAATGTTTCTCTGGCATCAACTGGTTCCTGCTTCACTTCAGTTTTAAATCTTTTAATCTTGGCCTTATGTTGCCTTTCTTCTAATTCATCTTCATCTGCAACCCCCATACCCTGCTGTTCTTGAATTTGCTTCACTTTGTCTTTCTCACTCTTGGGCACTTTATAATTACTAACATGATCCACTCGAATGGTCCTGTTTAGGATCTTAATTCCATTGAAGTTATCCACCACTAAATCGGTGGAACGTTGATCTTCATAACAGATGAAACCAAAACCACGTGATTTACCAGTGTCCTTGTCTCTGATCAGATTCAGATGCACAATTTCACCATACTGGGAGAAAATGCAGATTATATCCCCTTCAGTGAGATCATATGGCAGTCCTCCCACAAATAGCCATGCACTATCTCTGTACTGATCATGCCATGAGGTTTTGTTAAGACCTGCTAGTTCTTGTGCACTCAATTTGAGAACATTCTTCATATTCCTAAAATACAAGCAGCAATTTGAATCGTGTTACTTGTACTCATCATTAGACTTTTAAAAAATCAGACTGTTAGGGACTTACGTTAAAGGATTCATCTTATCAATCAATTCTGCTCTTTCTTAGACAGAATATGTAGCTTTAAAACACTTTAATTACACTTAAAACACCTTATAACCTGTATTTGTATAACCCCCAAGCACAAATATTTTCGTGCGCGTCGCTACGATCCCACCAGACTACAGCTGACGAACGTCAGAAACCGAAACGTTACTCTCAAGCAAGCTGTGCTAGCGGCGTGTGCACTGAATTATACAATCATATATTAAAAGAGGAAAGAACTGCACAATGTTTGCCCTGCGGAGGCTTTCCACCGTCGCACTCAGGTAATGCCACGCTTTGAAAACCAACCAAATATGCAATACTAGCTTTAAACTAATTCTATATAATATAAATCTAGCGGTGCCCGTTGCAAACACTCTTTGCCGGACTTGCCTTATGCCTATGAAGCCCTGGAGCCCATCATCAGCCGTGACATCATGACGCTTCACCACCAGAAACATCATGCCACCTATGTGAACAATCTGAATGCAACCGAAGAGAAATTGTCTCAGGCAATCAGTAAGTGTGATGTCTCTACTGCAATCTCGCTGGAACCGGCGCTCCGCTTCAATGGTGGTGGTCATCTCAACCATACCATTTTCTGGGAGACACTCTCCCCAAAGTGTACTGAAGCATCCAAGGATCTGATGGTGGCCATTACTGAATCTTTTGGCAGCTTTGATGCAATGAAGGAACTGTTATCAGCTGCTGCTGTGGGAGTTCAAGGTTCAGGCTGGGCTTGGCTTGGATATGATCCTAAAATAAGTATGTGACTTTTGTCCTGATAGAAACTCATCAACATTAATGAGATGATTGTTTACAGAGCGCTTACGGATTGCACAGTGTGCTAACCAGGACCCGCTGGAGGCGACAACCGGGTTGAAGCCGTTGTTCGGGATCGACGTCTGGGAGCACGCTTACTATTTACAGTACAAGAACGTGCGCGCCGACTACGTGAAGGCCATCTTTGAGGTCACTAATTGGGAGGCGGTTAGCAAGCGTTATTCCAAAGCCGCATGTTAATGTATGGGGACAGCATTGATATTGATCTAGTTGTTAATAAAGTAAAACAAACACGTGTACACACAAATTGAATTGTTTTCTTTTTATACAAATGCCTAGCTATAACACGATAGGGAGACGCCGCCATCAGCGCTTCCCGATCATACTGAGTACTGACTTACAAGCCCTTGAGTTACCGACTGCCTACAACAGGTGTAAACAGCACAACTAGAACGTAATAAATATACATTCATACAATAATTAACACCTTAACATAGCATAATTTTCCTGGTTATTGTTAATACTGCTATAAAAAAATATCGTACATATCCTACACGGTAATATCACAGACAACAGCGTCGCAGTCGTTTTTTGAAAAGATCTGCGCGCTCCTAGATGCTAGTTTTACACTTTCGTGACGGGCCCGCTTCGCATCAGGCCCTTGTGCGTAAAGCGCGGCCGCAGGATTTTGTTCCAGCTCCGAAACGTCTTATACGAGAACACCCACAACGTAGAGAAGATAATACTGAGGTAGCGCGTGCACACCTTCAACAGCTCAACGTACAACGAGTCAGAGAAGTAGCACAGCACGCTTACAAGCAACGGCACTGCAATCCCCAAACTAATAATTCCCAGTCTGTAGATAAGTCGTTCCAGTTTATGTGGGGAACGACCTGCATAGACAAGAGCAGCGCGTACACTGCGGAGTCCCTGCGATGTTAGTACAGCAAGGACCATTCCCAGGACAACAACGAATACCTGTGCCATTGTCAGCACCAGACTGCTCATCTCGCAGAAGCCGTTGAATGAATTGGCCTTAAAACTATTGAAAACAAGCACGTGCACGATGGGCACACCGGAAAGACTCCAGACGATTGAATGTACACGCGCTGCGATCTTCTCAATGGCCTCGGTTGACCACTCCTTGGACGCGCTGAGGTACCACACGTAACTGAAGGTACACCACCATAATGCATACGCAAAGTCAAAGTAGGTATGCAGCAGGACGAAGACCACACAGGCGCGTCCATCTAAAGGTCGTATGGTACCCTCATCCACCGTGCAAGTGAGCGTGGATAGAGTCCACTGGCAAAAGTATAACACGCTGGAAGAGAGCCCACAGATGGTTAGGAAGAGGATGGGTCTCGCCGGCCATCGGAAACGCTTCGGTTGGATGACGAAAGTCAGCAGTGTGAAGACCACAACAACAATGGCGAGGATACTCCAGATGAGAATCCACACCTCGACGATCAGTTTGTCATCGTTGGTGGTGTCGTATTTCTGGGGTACCGTGATACAGTTACCGCCAACACGCACCATGTTCGCGGGACATTTCTTCTGCAGGCGGTTGATCATATAGGATGAAGTCATGTCGGAGTTTCCGGTGAAATCATCATCGTCCGGTGGTTGCTGCATGCAGAGATCAGGTGGTTCCGGGAAACTATAAAGTATAACCATTTAGTAAAAACCTAAAATTCCGATATAAACACAATAACTACCTGGTGCATTTGAGTTGGACAAGACCAGCCCGGCGGATTATATGGGAACAGTCCAAGTTTACCTCCTCACAGAGACCATTACAGGCAGGAACCGCTCCGGGGATGTGTTCAGAACACAAAGGGAAGTACAGGGAGCAGATGAACAAACGTAGAAACGGCGAACATTTACTGCTTAGGAGCTCGTCCATTTTCCCAAGCTGGAAACAAAATCATAATTAACATTTGAGCGGTGCATCATGTGAACGCAAGCGGGAAAAAAATCAATGGATCGTGAACGACGCAGACCATTTCCCGATAAACCAGTAAGTATGTACGTAAGTCAGATAAAACCGGCGCGACGCGGAGACAAGAATGTGGCCGCCCGATGAAAAAGAAGACGGCTGTCTTTCTTCTAATGGCGGACGCGCGAGTCATTCCCCGGTCGTGGGTTTTTATCTCTTTTTGGAAGTGAAATCACGGATGCATCCAGGACAAATCATCAAAAATGAAAATTTGCTGCAGCAGATTGCCATCGAGCGAAATTAAGACGGAGGACGCCACCGCATTGCTGCAATCGTGGTGCGCGCGCTTTGCCTCACTCACGAAGCCAGCTCTGGTCGTCGTCGTCCCGGCCCTAATAATGATTGCACGCCGACCGGCCACTTCTAGGAAGATTCTCGCTTGTAATGACGCGGGACGGGCGGCGAGAGGAGAGGCTAATAACAGAGCGGCCTCGATGAAGGCGCCTGGGCCTTTATGATTGCCCCCTCGGGGGTCTTCTATTACCGCGTGCTTCTTCGGCGCAACGCAATCGACGATTGCGGCATCGCTACCACGCGTGTGCATCGTGCTCGCGTCTTGTGCGTGCCTACGTCCTGACGAACGTAACGACGTAACACACGCTGCGAGAAGATGTAAAGAGGAATCAAGGCAACACAATTAATAGAAAGGAGGAAAGGACCCGGGCCTGAATGCCGGCTGATGCTTGCTGGGAAGGGAAAAGTGCAAAGCTATCGGCTTTTGTTGAGCAACCGTGCCACAAAACATTATCAATTTTGCACGCCCCGTGAAGCGCTCTTCATAATGCCGCCCGGCCGAGACAATGGCCCAACCAGTTGCTTGCTTTTTTTTGTCATCATCATCATCCCGGCGCGGCAGCGGCCGCGAGGAAATGGCTTTTTGCGAAATTTCTTGCGAGCAAAAAGTGCGCGACTGGAAACAATTCGCGATGCGGGCAAAAAAATGTCTCCGCTGCGAGAGACGCAGAAACCGCGCCGCTCTTGTTTCAGTCGCGATGCGCGGACCCTTTGAAATGTGTCAGTCAATTGCTGACCTTGGGCATCAACGACCCCGCTGCTACTGTCGCTGCAGTCTCTCACCGAAGATAGATCTGCGACTGCGATCAGCTTTCGACGCACATCGCACGGCTTTATCATCGAATTAGCAAATCGCGGAGCGAGAGACCTACCCGAAGAAACCCGCTGAAATAGCCATTTTATTCATTTCAAGCCTATACCTGCGCATTCATTCAATCCTATCAAATCCAATTCAAGAACTACCGCAGCCTGGAACGCAACAATGCACGGCCGCGAAAACAAAACGAAGAACACAATGCGCGCACACACCGGCTGGAAATATTCGCGACCAGCCAACAATACCACCACCACATACAATCACATCAGTTATTATTAAAAATGTACCTCGCGTTAATTAGCACGTAAGCGCTGCGTGCATCCTGCAACAAAGCGGAAAACCAGCCAATTTGATGTCTTAATCCCGCCGCTCGAATATTTTTTATTCGCGGCCGGCGATTAATTAGCCGGCGTATCAAACACGCGCATCTCGAAAAAAAATGTAATATGCATGTTTGATGGCGAGCGGCGGCCATAAAGCGAGCAAGAAGTAACTGTGCATTCGCCTCCTGGTTTTTATTTACAATAGCGGAAGATACACGGCTGCGGCTACTGTGCGCGCAACGCACGTCGCGGGTTTCCTTTCGTCGTACGATTGTGTGTGACTGCACTTAATTCGAAATTTTCCGCGATTCATTGTGGGAACCATGCAAATATCCCCCCCGCCCGCACGCTGCGCAAACCGAGAGTGCGGTGAAGTGAAGCGGGCAAAACATCGAAATCCTCTTTAAACTCATCGGCTCGGAAAGTCAACACGAAGGTTTTCAATCATTTCTCAGAACGCCTCTGTATAAATATTAACATGTTTGCTCTTCGCAAGCATGGCATTGTGCGCACCAGCCCACGAAAACAATCACGTCTATGACTGGCCGCGGTGTCAACATTGAGTGAATAATGTTTTCAATTGCTCTCGGTGCGCTGTCAGTTTCGAAAACAACTGGTATGTCGATTTTATTGGGGCTTGTATATGTACCTACTATGTACTTACTTAGTTGTATTATCGGCTTCGGTATTATCGCGAAGCGGTATCAGTCATCAAAGGCGCGGTGCCGCGCGCTGTCAAAGGCGATGCGACTCAATATAAATAAATATGAAAGCAATTTAAAAGTAAATTAAAGCTTAAGCGCGCTTATCGCTGTCCTGGTCGGCGCGGCACAATATCATCTCTCGGCGACGAGTGCAAATCAAATAGGTTTTGAAGAGGTTTTCAAGAAGTTGTCGCATTGTGTCTTGCGCAATTTCGGTCGGTCGATATTGCGCGCCATAAAACGATATAACTTGTTTGCCATCACCGGGCGCGGCGTGTTTCCTTTGAGGCTTTATACTTGTGTTTACAAATTTTTATTTTTATTGGCTTGCGCCGCCATAAAATGATTGATGCAATTTAGGTGTGAATTAAACTCGTTTTTGTTACAATTGCCGTTTGAAACAACAACAACAACAACTTGGTACAAAAAAAAATGCGGTGAAAATTTCGCACACTTTTTATTCGAGGATTTTATGATCGCTTTGGTGCGCGCCGCGATTATTTTTCCATCGAACTACGAAGCCGGCAATAATAATAAAAATAACTCAAACATTTTAAAAGAAGAATTCCATCCCGACCACGCCGAGCCGCGCGGTTGTAAAATTACGCGCTAATTGGTTTTATGAATTTCTCGTGCTTGTAAAAAGCGCAGGCAGCGCGCGGTGCAATAAAACCCTTTCTGGGGATAAACGCAAATAGTCGGTCGGTCGGGTTTTATTGAAGGGACGACGTCACGTACGCGTCGGCGTCGATCGCCTTTCATGTTCGCCGTTTTCGTTTCATTAGTGCTTTGAAGTGTGCGAACATCCACATGTGTCGCGCGAGCGCGCGGCGCGGCGCGCACACCTACACCGCAAAACTATTTGCGATCGAACAACAAACATCGCCGTCGATCCGCGCGCATAGATCAAACGCGCGGCGCATCCGGCATTCGAAAATCATAATAAACGCGAGCATGACGGCTGGGATAATTGCGATCGTTAGGCGGTATTAAACGATTACCGTCTAATTGGGCGGGCGTCGTAAAGCGACCGAGTGCATTAATTAGTCTTTAATTGCCGGCGTGATGTAATTGAACAAGACAGCCAAGACACAAGTCACATGCATGAGAATAATGTAAACGCTAGTTATCATCGTGCATTACTTAATCTGTGTACCTACGCGTGTCCCACAGATAAAACCCAACACAACATAACGCAGCATAGAAAGAGAGTGGCGAAACATCTGCCCGGCAGTGTAATTACCTCGAAAATAGCCTCCTCCTGACTGGCATGGCCCAAGAAGTTGGGCATGTGCGTGGTGTTGTAGCCGAGGCCCTGGCACATCGGCGCGGCGATCCTCTCGCAGCGGGGTGGCGACAGGGCGCAAACATGCCGCACAATGACGACAAGGGCGCAGATTAGCCCGATGCGCATCGAGGCGAACATTTCTCGGGCTTTTGTTCGGATCGCTTTCCTTTCTTGCGCCGCTCCTCAAAGCGGCTGAGCGGGCATGCACTGGATGCGCGCGATCATGTTACCCGTGAAAGGGCCATGCGAGATCCGGTCGGTCGGTCGGTCGGTTTATTAGCCGGCCGGCGGTCGTCGTGTAATCCAAAAGCGGCGCGGCGTTTTTGTTATTAATTAAGCGCGCCGAGGAGAGCAGCGCGCGCGCGCGCGACTTGCTGCGGCCGGTTTCTTCGCGGGGACAGCGAAGATGTTGCCGCGCGTGGAGAAGAACCAGGACTGGAGTGGCGCAGCGCGACGACGTCTTTGATGTTATTTTCGGTTGCACTTTGTCGAAGGCCCGACGAGCACGCCGCCGCCGCTTCGGCACAGTATACACAAACGTTCGAGCTTTAATGATCAAAAGAGTTTATAAATAGTAACGCAAACACATCACGGCTTTGAGTACTACTACTACGCGCCGAGTTGACTTGCGCCCGCGTCCGACTGTTTCATCCCGAGTCGATCAAAACGCAACACTTTTTGACGAGCGCACGAGGATCAAAGCCACTTGGAAGCACTATGGTTTACGTTAAAGTATAAATAATATTAGAACAATAAATACGCACGCGGAACTTTCGCACTTTGCGCAACACAGCGCCGCGCGGAGGAGAAAACCTGTACGTCCGTACACGACCAGCCCGTCGGGTCGAATGGAGTCAGACTTGCGCGCTCCGCTCAGCCACAACTCTGATGGTGAGGCACACCAGCAATACCCGCGTGTGCCCCGCTCAACCCGCGGTACTGGTGCCACTACTAGCGGCGGCAGCGACTCAAAGAGACGCGCACAAAAACTTGGCTGGAGTGGCTCGCATCACTCGTGTGTGTGCGTATTACTCATCAATAAATCAAACGTGCGCCGAAATGCACGGGCGTCGATATCGAAATCGCATTACCGATAGCGACGCACATGATAAAATCGGCATTAAACGATTATTAGACTCCTTTGATCTCGCTGTCATTACCGCATTATTGATTTTGCATATTTTTGGATAACTTCGAGAGTAAAACCACGGCGTACCGCAGTACAACACGAAAACGAAACCGAAACATCCTACAAAGAGACGCATTGAAACGTATATGGGGAGCGAAGGTTGAAAGAGTCTTCGCCGGTCGGTCTTCGGTCTTCGTCGAGCGGATAGCGCTTTGGTAAGTGGCAGGCTCATGAGGAATGTAACCGGCGAGATCAAAGGAGCGCCGCCGCGAACAGAAACCGCGCCGCAACTGCGACTACCTAGCGATTTACAGCTGTAACATTACAGCCGCACTCGCCGAAAAACCAGCCACCAGGGACCCCCGGGCCCCCAGGGCTTCGTTAATTGCGAATCTATTGTTCCGATCCGATTTACAAATTGCACTCATTGTGGCCAACCAACACGCCGGGCGCACCGTGATTACCCGTGTTTCGTTTTCGTCCCGTTTCCGATTTCCGCCGACCCTAATTATTATTCGAACCTCTTCGAATTTCTTCGGCTGTTGGCGACGCAATTACACACCTAATACGCCGTCGTTCCACCTGAAAATGCAATTTCCCGTCGATTCGCATTGTTCGCCGGGCGTGAAACGCGGTAGTCGCCGCGCCGGTCTATCTGCCGGCGTAATAAATATCGTAATGAACTCGCGTCCCGATATTATTATATAATTACTACGCACACAACACACACACACCATTGTGTCGCGTCGATAATTTATTACGCATTCGTGCTTTAATATCGTAATGATCGCATCGGTGCATCCGCCTCGCTCACGGCGCGACGGTCGCATTACACGCCGAAGAAGTAAATTAGTACCGGCGAACTACCGTCGGGCAACAGGTACACCGCCATGCCGGCGCATCTATGTAATGCATTTATAATTAGAGAGCGCGCTGGAGAAAACTTTAGACGAATTACGGACAAAAATCAGGTCAATTTTCAAATTTTGAATAATTACGCCATGCATTGCCGTAAACAATAAATCATTACGCGGCGGGAATGGCGCACGAATGTGCAAATTCGAATTTGATTCGAATTTGAACGTAATTAAACATCATTTCGCGCTGCACTGGTTAATAGGCATGGGTTGATAGCGGCGGGGCCGCGTAATGCGTTCTGGCTGCTCCTTCGGCGCGCTGGCTCGGCTGGATCGGGACGAAATACCGGTTTGGATTCGTTCCGCCGCCGCGTACAGACGAAACGTCGGCATCTCGATGTGTAAAACTTTAATAGTTTGTAATTGCCCAACCTCCTACGTAGCTCCGTCCTTTTCGCGCCGCTGCGGCGTGACTTAAGCCATGCGCGCACATGGAACGAATGGGACGAAATGAGAAAGAGGATAATCGAGCGAATCGAGCGTGAGTGCCCCGACCGCGGCATTATATAAAATATCAAAATAAAAAGCGCATCGGCTCTTCGCAGCTGCGCAGCCTTGCCGCCGACGAATCTCTAGTGTGTGTGTAGGTTTTGATTCTTCACCGATCTTTCAAATACTGGAAATCATCACCGTGTCTTGAGAAAATATTCGAAAACACGCTGTCGTCGTATGCAACTTACCATACAAATGATGCAACGTTCAAATCTACCTTGTGTAATCTTTTATTGTTAATATGTTGGCTCCTTTTGGGGTTTGTATATTATAATTGGTTATATTGAGTTATATAGGTGCCAATGGTAATCTCGTCTGGGGTCCGACCGTTATGGTAACTGGTATTTTTTAGGTGACTACAATGGTAATGAACATCGAATGATAATTTTCCTTCTTACGTTGCTTCAACGTAGGCAGCCCAATATGCGCCGCCAGCCAAATGATACACGGCGCGCGCCTCCCGATGTGATACAATCAAATTTGTAGCCACAATAAATTCATGCAGGATTCTTCGATTAGCTTATTGTTTTTTTAGTTACGTACTCTTGGATACAGCCGTTACTGTACAGAATCTTAATTAATTTACAAAGAACGCTTCTTCTTCCTAAAAAAGAAGACAGTGCAAAATAAGTGGGCAATAAAAAAGTACTAAAAGTATGCATTGCGCGTTATCACTATCGGAAATGTCTGAAAGAAGCGGAAACGCCGGGGGGACGCCGGCCGTTTCCGGCGAAGAATGTTTAAGAAGAAGAGAGTGTTAGTCACATTGAAAAGAAGAGGGAAAAGAGGGTGGCAATTACTTTTCCTTCTTGACGTTGCCGGCTGAGGTGGCAGGAGGAGGTGGTGATGCCCTGCTCATTTCAGCAACGGAGCTAGCCGGCATGATAACCACCACCTCCTTCTCGCCACGCAACGCTTTGTTAAGCTTCTCGCCAGTGACATAGAGGCCGAGCACCAGGCCCAGACAGCCGATGATGAAGGCAATCTTCAACGGCCACGAGAGCACGTGCAGAATTGGGTACACCCAGACGCCGGTGGCGCTGTAGATGACAAACAGCCAGATCAGATAGGAAACCATCACGCTCAGCAGGATCTTCACGTTGCGTGCGCGTGGCTCGTACGCGTAGGACGTGGTGATGAATTCAATCAGCATAAAGACGACGATGTTCGTATGCATGCAGTGGTTGAGCCACACCGGGAAGAAAACGTCCATGGCTTTCGGTAGGATCAACTCCCGATCGACCAGGTAGATGGCCCAGAAGGTCACACCGACAAACATCGCCAATGGGTATGCGAGCGACACCATAATCTAACAGAAGTTTCGCAGGTTTATTATTACATCGTTTTATTGGCTATTATTCAACAAGAAATGAAGATGTGCTACATTCGGGTACCATGTACCCGAAACCTCAATTCGTGTTGCATTACGTAAAAAAATGCAAAACTTGCTTTTGCTCAACATGCATGCATGGCGTGTGAAATTCGAAAAACAACATTCACTGATTGCTATTATTGTTTGCTTATCTATGTAATGACTTACTCGGTTCTGCAGGCGGCGTAAAACATGACTCTGGTCATCTTTGGCGACCAGATCAGCGAGCACGCAAATGCCGAAGAAAACAGCCTGCAATACCTGTGCAAACAAACAAAAAAATCACAAATTAACACCCTGTATGTTAATTTATTTCTATTTGCATAAAATCACAGACGCGCGGGGAACGTTCGCAGTGTAATTTACAATTCATTATATGAAAAGTATTACGGTGACGGTTTGTAAACACCCAAGGTTATCATAGTTTCCAAGTTTTCAAGTGAGAGGTACACCAATAGATTGCATCAATTAAACGCAATTACTTAACAAGTTTTCAAGTACTCCTCAGGTGGAATTTGATAATTTGATAGGATTGAGGTTATTGGGAGCCACAGCAGGAAAACAATTTGCTTGTTTGTTTGTGTGTACTGACCACGTCCCAGAACGTGAGGTATTTAAATTTGTACGGCCGGAACCACGGCACCACACTGTTGTCATCGATGTCGTGCGGCGGGAAGATGTAAAACCAGTCGTAGTACAGCGTGAAGAGGAAGTGCGTCAGCGCCAGGGAGCGCAGCAGGAATCGCCACATCTTCCAATATGATGATATAGGTATATCGATCTTGCGCGATGCACGCCGAAAGATGAACGGGAGCGCACTGGGAGGACGACGCGCGACGCTATGTGCGAGACAACGCGCGCATTTGTACCAAGCGATAAGGCGTAATCAGAAAGCGAGAACTCGCCGGTCGGCTGCGATCTGCCGACCAGCAAGCTGGGCCGACAATCGCACTCCTGCTAGCTGTGTAGTGGCACTTGGTGGCATTAGAGTACCACTACTGCCACCTAACGTCCTACAACGAAGAGCAGCAGGCAGCCGACCGTTACCTGCAAACCGCGCGCGCTGCATGAATTCAAAATGCAGGAAATTCGATGACCTCGGATGTTAAGGTCCACATGAATAAAAAATCAACTTCCTAAATGCCCTGTATCTAATTAAAATTAAATATCCATGTGTTCGATACTTGTACGGCAAGTCAAATCATATAGTTAAAGTTTATAAACTTAGAATAAAAACATAAAGCCAACGACATTGGACCCATATCAGAATGAAAACATTTAGTTTAGTTGACGAATGAACTTTGCGCGATAAATGCGTCGGAATAATTCCATCCTATCAAGTAGACGTCCTTTGAGCCTGCACGCACTACCCGCTCTCCTCATCTAGCACAATCGCTAATGAATGACGATTATAGTGAATGAGATACCGAAACGAACAAATACATATTTTACATTTTCATTATTAATTTCCGCTGCCGCCCGCCCGGCCCCCTTATTCCCCACGCCTGCTGCTCGGCGCGACGTCATTAGCGTTATTACTGCTTTTACTCAATTTTACTTATTACGATTACAGCAAGTGCTTTGTCCTCGGCATCGGCAGTTGACACTTTTAATTGCTGCCGGGTCACGAGGAGTTTAGGGGGCGGTGTTTCGTAGGCATGAAGTTTCGATACTCCTTCGATTGTTACCAACTTTCCACTAGTTTTTATTTTATTTATTTTTGTGTTTCTTTAATGTTGAGTTCGGCGAAACACGTTACGAAGACAATTTTCATTAAATGTGATATTTTCTGTCGTCTTTCTGCGAAAAGCTTCTTGCTCCGGCAAGTATTAAAAATCTCCCGAATGAAAATGAACATGCAACAACGAAAAAATAAAGCAAAAGATTGTTTTCTTTGTGCTTCTCGTTAAAATTTCGTGTGTTTAGCTAATCTTTCACATCTGCGAGGAGTGGATGTGACGTTAAGTTGTAGAATTTCTCTACAACGCATGATGATCCAGTTCGTTACGATGACAATGGTAACCGGCGCGTGCCTTCTTCAAGTCTGCTGCCGGAAGCCCGCTTTGGGGACAAAAGTGTTGAATTCACTAGGGGGACTTTTGCAAAGTTGCAATGCACATTCGCGAAATGTGACAAGTACGCACATACACATCACAAGCGGCATAAAATAAAATGTGTCTACCTCATAAAAATATCCATCGGCACGTTGTATTTTTATGGCGAAACACTTAAAACTTGCATCGCCGATGATACCTATGCCAATTATATTTGCATACGTATCAATTGAATCGCGCGAATTGCCAATTGAAACAAAATGTACTTGACTTTGATATGCAAACATGACACAATACGATGTAATGAGAAAGCTGCCGTCAATTTTCGTTCTTTGATTTTATATTTTATATTAATGCTGTCGCTCAACGGCACACAATTATTTTCTCAGGATATTTTTAGAAACATTGAAGTCATATGCACTAACAACTAGATAATTAGTATGCGTCGGAGAATATATGTTTAGTTTAATTGCATCACTGCATGTGTTTTCAAGGTTACCGCAATCTGCGGGCCCAAATTGATTGGATTTTGGTTTTGAAAATGCCCAAAAATATACGAGATATGAATGAATGAATGAGGAATGGTAATACTTACAAAATTCCAGTAAGTCAGGAAGCGCCAGCGGGTCTCGAAGATCGTGCCCCCCGATTTGGGCACCAGACGCGCCAGATTATCGTAGTGGAATTCGTACACAAGGGTGCCCGCATAGATAAGAAAAATGGGCATGTGCAATTTCAAATCCCCCACTTTCGGCATGTCGGCGATTGCGAAGAATTTGAAGATTTGATTTCGAATTGATTTCGCACTGCCTGCGCGAATGAATGCAACTGAAAATTTCGAAGGTGGAGGCTGCTGCAAAAAGCGACAAGGTTTGTTTGGCACTGACACTGACAAGCCGAAAAGTTGCTCGTTGTTGACGTGCCGGACGCACACGATAAGCGTGATAAATGCGCGTCGCGACCCGATGACTCTCCGCGATACTCGTCCGCTCGCAACTATTGCGCGCGATCTAGTCGCAATCGGTGTTAGCAACGAGTTGGGGGGCGGCCGAATTGCGAATAGCCCCGCCGGTGGCGGTGGCGACGGCTGCTGGTGCACGCGTCGTGCCCGGCGAATGAATATCTTGCAGTGGGATGTCTTGCCTACTTCCGCAAACCGGCAAATCGTAGAAGAAAAAAAAACGCGCGTTTTTTTTATTTTGCGAATGTCAACAAAACGCAGAAAAAACTTACTTACTTGCACATTACACGCGTGTGTAATGTGTGAATTGTTTGCTCGTTGTAATACGCAAGTCATTTAGAAACATATTAATAACATATTAATTTTTAACGAAATTTAGATAAAATTTTGTGTGAAAAACTTGCGTCTGCGAAATCTCGTACCAAAAATAACTAAAATAATAGTTGGCGACATTAATGGAAATGCAATATTCAGCATTTTTCCTATTTCAGAAATAAAATATTAAACTGCATTCGGTACACAGTTTAAATATAAACTAAATCTCTCGCCCGGCAAGACCCGGGCATCAGGAGGAGCGCGTACTGAAAGGAAAATAAATCCTGAACAATAACAACCTTTGTCCAGTCCGTAAACAAGCAGCTTAGAACGGAGAATTTCATATTTTTCGATTCGATATTTGCTATAGGCAACTCAATGCACAGTTTTGTGGTTTTCGGTGCGCAAAAAAGTTTTTATTGCTTTCCCTTTGTGATCGGCAAACTCGCAATTAGTGCGGTACGCACAAAACACGAGTGGTTACATTATGTAAGCGATGCCTGGCACGTTTGTGATGCAATAAAATTACTGGATAATTGCGTCTGCAACGCGAAAAAAAAAAAACAGCCTACAACACAACAACAACGACCGACGACGGCGAAAATCGCGTGAATACGATTTTTTGAAAGTTAAGCCTCGCATATTTCGCAAGCCGGGCGCAAGGATGATCAAATTTACCGGGAATTTCCGGGTGAATCCAGCACAATGCAGCAACGCATTAATATGCACATTGTTTCCGCGGAGTTAAGCCGTGAGTTAAGTCGAATTGCGCGAATTTCCGCTTGCAGATGATGCGTTTAGTCTGTAGCCAAACTGGCGTAACAGATCCGTAATTCAATGCAAATGCAGTAGATCTGCTCCAAATATGAAGGCGCTGCAAAGCGGCGCACCGAGATGCGTTATTGTTTTCGTGCGTGATTCGGATTTGGATGCCTCTGAGCAGCGACGGCTGCAAGCGGCAGGAAAGTTGTCCAGCATGCAAAGCACCGCTATACGCGCAGGTGAAATGGAAACGAGGTGTCCATATGCCGATATCGCCATGGATGCCGCTACGTCCATGGTAACGTCCGCCCAGCCGGTAATGAGTCATCGTGGCGCAAAAGGTGAAGTGAGTTCCAAGGTAACCAGGGCAGGATTTAATTTTTTTTTTGATAAATTTAGGGTACCATCAATAAAAAATGGTCCCTAATGGGTACCCACGCCATCTATCGGAAAAAATACGCATTTTTTTTGTCGTGGATTCAAAAAAACACTTGAAATAATTCATGTGTAGGCGCAATAGTCCGGTACTGGCGATGGTAAACTGGGGCCGAGGTGGTGGTAGAGGTAGCAGGAGGGCCCGCAGTGCTGCAGGTAAACAGCTCGCGAGGAGTTGCGGCGCTGAAGGCTGCCAGACTCAACCGCGAGGCCATTCGTTCGACGCGCACAACACTCCGCGGCTTCGCGTTCGTTTCGGCGGCGTTTTTTTTTTTATTTTCTATACACATTTTAGTTCAATGACGCTGGCGGGCAGCGGCGACATATCCAATAAGACCTGCTGCTGCAGCGAAATCATCGCCACAATGCTCTGCATTTGAAGCGTCGTCCGTGCGCGGCCCACGTCGACTAAAACTGGATTAGTAATTGTGCAAATATCGATTTATTGTCGCGTTGCACCCACCATTGAGTCACACGCAACAACTCAACAAACAAGTGTGTTTGCATATTTGAAATAATTGTCAGCGCTGCTGCAAAGACGGGGAATATTTTCGCCGGCCGCCCCGGATCAACAGTGATACTGCAACGGAACATTTCATCACGTTGAGCCACCGGAACCAATCGAATGCTCGCCGCTATCGTCGAGCTGCGGCGGCTTAATTAGCACACCGGTTGCGTTCCGCGGAAAACTGCTAGTGACGCCGCAAATTATCGATTTGGTCGGCTTCGTGCGCTAACAATTTCGACAAACCGTCGCCGGCGAACTTAGACACACACATTTCGCACATCACAGGTTAGTTATACTCGAATAATATTCATTTTCGGCCACGAAAATCCAAACACTCTGTATGTCTTCGCTAATTTGTACCTCATGCATGTAAGCAGTGACAATTATCAATTAATTAGTCCAGTCGTTAATTTTTCATGCACGCCGCCTGTCTTCTTCGTCTACAATCGCTTGATAATTACGTAATTAAAGCCTAATTAAACCGAAATTTATTATTTGAGGCAGGTGCTGACGCCGGCCTTGCTCTTTGATTCGCACATCCGTGTTTAATCCATCGCCGAATGTTTAATGAATACACATACGTATTACCGACAGAATGTTTATTGTTTGCACTGAATCCAGACACTGTTAACGCGACTGTCTTCAAAACAACCGTAAAAATACCACAGTACCATGTATTCGGAAATTGTCGATGTGTTATTGTCGGGATCGGGTTGAACGAATGCAAATGAGGCCGCTGCATCTGATAAGGAACTATAATTAGTAATATTAATGATAAAATGCGCTTGGAGTGTCCGTAATAATATTGAATATATTTCCGGCGAGTTGGTTGCAGGCGCAGTCTGCACTCGGCGCGCAAACAATCGAATAATCAAAAACATTTTTATCGGAGCGTATGAGCGCGCGCGCTCATTAAACCAGACGCCGGCCGCCGTACGTGCGTGTATTGTTCGTGCGTTGCTACCGCGCATTGTTCGCGTCGTCCTGCACAGCCGAAAGTAAACAAAGTAGACGGATGAATTTGATATGCGCGCATACGAGCCGGCCGCCAATAAATAGGCATTGTTCGATTTCAATCCGGTGCCGGACGAGACGTGCGCCGGAGGAACAGCTCGTGACGAATTGTAATCAATCGCGGCCAACAATGGCGTATTCATTTTTTAAATTTAATTACGCGCACGAGTGCTGCATGTCCGATGACGTAACAGCGACGCCATTACGCACCGGTTCAAAAAAGCACCAATGGCGTAACACTATCATCAAAAACCCCTTCCTCCGGATAAAACCCGGATAAAAATATTTTTAATAATAATATTAATAAACTGGTCTTTTAGGCCCTTTCCCACCCTGATAATCCACTGCTACGCCACTGGTTCGCACTTTTAATAACAAATGAAATCATGTTTCAACACAAAAAAAATATACGGTGAATATTTACCGATAACAATGAAGTTTATCGCTGTAAGCGAGAATGTTTAGAAAATACGCGCTTTGCATACATTATTATAATATTTCCGAAAACATTTGAGCATCGCATTACAAATGTTCGTCAAAGGCGACCCGAGTTAACGGCTTCACCAGTTAATTACTGCTATTTGTTCACTGTCCTGATGTTACTCTTGATGCTTCGGTGACTTCAGCTACTGTTCAATTATCGTTTATTGTTACAATATGCAGATGTGCATCAACCGTTTGAAAGAAACCGTGAAACAGATGATCTTTCTGTTTTAGCAATGGCGGAATACCTGGAGTTCGACTGGAAAACCAGCATGATTTCACATGATGTCCACATTCTTTCCATTGGGGACCTGAGGAAGCCCAAAGTGGATAAAGCAAGATCCGTTGAAGATCTGCGGAGTTTCATTCAACATGGTACCGATGAACAATTGAAGACCAACATGCAGCAGGATGATGCCACCCTGTTGCGTTTTCTCTACGCACGCAATTTCAATGTCCCTGATGCTTACCTTCTGATGCAGAACTGCTACTGGTACCGTCAACGCAACCCTAGTCTTTTCGCGGACCTGGTACCCAGCGCGCCTGATGTACGCAAAGCCTTTGAAAATGTCCTCCCTGGAGTCCTGGGTGCACGAGATCGTCGAGGTCGTACCGTGCTTATCCTCTACGCCACCAATTGGGACTGTAGCTATGGTCTAGCAAGTGTCTACCGAGCACTTCTAGTAGCTCTGGAATTACTCATCGCTGATGTCCAAAACCAAGCAAATGGATTGGTAGTGGTTGTGGACTGGACGGAGTTCTCCCTGCGTCAAACCGCGAATCTCAAACCCTCGATGCTGAAGCTAATGATCGAAGGGTTGCAGGACTGCTTCCCGGCGCGTTTCAAAGGCGTGCATTTCATTGGTCAGCCATGGTATGTGGATGCAGCGCTCACCGTCATCAAACCCTTCCTCAAGGATAAAATCAAGGAAAGGATTTATGTGCATGGGAACAATCTGAGCACCCTTCATGATTACCTGCCGAAGGACATCCTACCAACTGAACTGGGAGGTGATCTCGCCACCTACAATCCAGAGGTGTGGATCAAGAGCATACAGCCGAAGATGGGCACCTAATCACGTGACTCACCACATCGCGCGCATCACTATCTAATCTCATTTCATACTTCAATATTGCTTTTAACGACGAAGGCGATTCGTTGCGAACGTGCTCTGTGATGAAAATACTGCGAAATTTCTGCATTTGGATAGTATTATTAATTAGTTTTAGGATGGGAGTTATTTAATAACGAACTGATTCTGGTTGCGAAATTATTATTAAATGTAAATACGCATCGAGTATTTTGTATTGAAATTTACCTACGTGTAGACTGCTTTTGATATGTGTATTTTACCTGTTACACAATGAGTCTTCAATGACTGCCTTACGGTGACAATAAATCATACAAATAAGTGACCAACAAACTTTTAATTAACGCAATTTACCACTTCGCTCCGCCCACGTTGAGCATTGTGTTGCTCAACTATAGGCAACCGAAATAACTCGTATGAATACAGTTAGTCTACGTAACTACACTGAAAATAAGCCGGCTTTGCGTTGTGAGTGCGCGATCGCATCAGCGGTTTCTCGCCGTTGCGTCACAAGCGCGCGCATAGCGTGAATCCACGTAGTAGCAGCGCGCGCTCGAAGCGACTTAAGTCGCCGTGGGGCACACAGACCTGGTGGACGTAATCGACGCGTGCAAACAATCAGTCGCGAGTGCAACACGGTGCCACGCGGACTTTCTCAACTCCTCGGAAAACTTTTTTGCCTGTCGATTTAAGCAACATGAAGTTATACGCGTTTTCTAGGACATTCGCGTACTTCTAAAGTAAATCAAAGGGAAAGTAAACGTCGATTCGAGATAAGAAAAATTATCTTGACATGCCCGTGAAGTATTTTATGCGTGTGAATATGTGAACTCAGAATGTACAATTCGGAAAACTAATCCATTCCATCAAACGAAAAGGTAATGTATAGAAAGTCGTTGGATATTTAAATAGCACACATTCCATTGGAATAATTATAAAGTCATTTATAAATTTATAAAAAATAAAGCACAAATATCAGTGTTTACTAATGCATGCAAAAATAATTTCCGTTGTTTACTTCATGGAATTGCATGCTGTTTTGACATTTACATGCGGCGAGAAGTTGTTGTACACGCCGGTAGCGGTTGTGCAATGTGAATTGCCGAAATCATAAACGTGTTTGAAAATAGTTCTTGCCTTTCTAAAAATATCACGCGTATTCTTTGTTTTTGGCCACACAATTGCAGCCAAATCGCGCGAATTAAAGTCAAGTTAAGCATAACACAACATAAAAATACCGTCGCTTAATGTAAAAATAACTGGAACACATTTTATTGCAAGTAGATGCAGATTGTTCCCATCGCCGCAAACAATACGATTAAAGCACAATTCCTTCATCTTGAAGCGAGATGAAATGACTTAGCGTCCGCCGTTTGGACAATGAGTTTAATCAAGGAAAAATCGATAATATTGTCGAATTGGTCGTGAATCAATGATTCCCAATCAGCATGCGCGTCGGTGGTGTTTGTTCGCGAGCAAATCGCGTGGGCGCGCAATCTCCACCGCGTGTGGAATAAACATCGATTCAGAAAATCCGTTCGTACTCTGGGAACGAAAAAGTTGTAAAAACAACGCGATCCCCAACGAAATTCACGCGCGGCTGCGCTCGGTTGCGGCCGCGTGCGTTTCGAGTTCATCGCGTGGCAACGCAACAACAGCAGAAATCCAAGAACGAAATTACGAGCATAACAATCACGACGACAACTGCAATTACGTACGCTAACTGTACGAGTGTTTTTACAGGGTGTTGGCGAAAAATGGCGGAGGCGAAAAGCACAACATCGCGCATACCGGTGGCATCGCCACTGATGCTGCGCCGTTCGTGGAGTGTGCGCGTCAAGGGAGATCGCACCGATGCGGGGCGAGAGGTGGCGCTGCGGCGGCAGCACTCGTTTACGGCGGCGGCGCCGGGCAGTACGCGGCCGGAGCGGGCCGACGACGGCGGCACCACGACGGGCGCGAGGAGGAACGCCGCGCCGATGGGGGCGCACGCCCCTAACGGCCTCTCGCATCGCACACGCAGCCTGGTAAGTAGTGCTCAAATGTTCACGAAAATTTCCACCCTTGCGAGGGCGCCCTTCCTGCACGTCCTGCGCTCATACCACGCAAACAAGGATCGATCGATCAGCGGCGATCAGTTATGCACTCGGCTGCAACGTGCCACGATCGCTTCACGATACAAATTTTTTTATTGTTTAATACACGGAAGTGGTGCTTTTGTACAAACTTGCTGTCAACATATCACATCAACACGCATTCGGGAAATTTATTGATAGCAGGGGACGCAAATGGTAAGGATGAAAAGCCCTGTATGTCAAAGGTTAAGGTACGGCGTATATAACAGTGAAACCTGTCACAAAACACAAGTTTTTGCTTTCGTTATTAATTTTCAAAGTACCGCAACAATAGGAAACGCTTGTAACTTTTGTTTATTTTGATTAGTTGCACTTCCTGTATATTCATACGTGGCTGACATGTGAGCGCATCACCTGACTCAGTTATCGACTGCGTTTTCTCGTTAAATAGGTCAGTAAAACTCGATTTTTCGATCGGCGTCGAAGATTTTTAATTGCTCGCTTTACGTAACACAAGAAATTCGCAGCGAAACTAGTTTCCGGCTTTCTCCAGCGAACAAAAACTTCAATCTGTGCTCGTTTTTTCCACGTCCGCAAGTAACTAACCTCCCGGAAACGGTTAAATGTTCATTATTAGATTAATACACTCCATCATGCTATTAATCTAATTGGATATCTATTTATAGTTTAATAAATCAGCGTAAAATGCCGTAGATAAATGCAGAAATTAACTACAAATTCAATTAAAACCGCGATTAATTAATATTTTCCGCTAGTTTCTGCGTGAAATGAGTGCAGAAGAAAGTTCCCCATTTGCTAATTCATAATTACACAATTTTGCAATTTGCTAAATTACTGATATCGTGATGGTAATGAATAATGAAGTGGTATGACATGACAATGCAGGCGTAAACAAAACGAATTATGCCGTAGGTAGATAGCACGAAATAAGACATGATAAGCATACCTGGCAAAATGACAAACAAAAAAAAACAACGTGAAAAGTCGATAGTGCGGCCTTGAGTCCACGTAAACGAAATTACGATCATAATATGTAGTGGATGGATGAAGTAAAAGTACGCGTTCCGGCGTTTGTAAACAAATTTCGTGGAATACCAGCGTGGAAAACAGTTAAAAATATAGCTAGGAATGATGGAAGCTAGACAAATCTAACCACAAGATGTAATTTAAATTATCCGTGCGCGAGAAGAGCCCGGTAACACGAAAAAACACATTATTGTTATTAAAGCAATCATACGAGCATTAAGGCGGCGCACATACCATGTCCGACATGGACATCGACGCCGCAAGATGTTTTTGTCTCACCAGCAAGAATTACGTCGAGCATGCGATCAGAATTGCGCGTGTACAGGTAGCGGGTCAACGCATGTCAATCCCAGGAGGCAGAATCAATCATAATTGTGGTCGTGGTGGAGGTGCCTCGACGTGAAGGTCACACCGCTTGTTCCACACCATCAAAATCTAAACGTTTCTAGATTAATTTCGACGTTGAAGTTGTGTGGTACCTTTACAGAGTCTCAATCTGAGCAACACGACATCGTCGCGCTTGGCGCTTCCGCAGGCGACGAGCGCGATGTCCTCACCGCGCACTCCACCCACATCGCCTTCGGAATACGCTCGTTCCCAACAACGGTCACGTGCTACCGACTGGGATGCGGAGAGCATCACCAGCGGAATCAGTGGAATAAGCATGGCGTCCTCCAGCTGTGACCATGCGTCTGTGGCGAGGAATGGTACCACCTTCTCGGGTCGTAGTATGAAGTATGTTTTTCACTGCAGTCAGCATGCAGGACAGACGGGGGAGGATTATCTTACACCTACGCAACGTGCGCAGAGACAGGTGCGTCGGTTGAAGACGCTGCTGCAACAGGCGCAGAGGGATCTGGATAGTCGTGATAGCGATATTGTGAAGCTCACCAAGGAGGTGGTAGAGCTACGGTTGTACAAAGCAGCGCTGAGTTCACCTGAGGAGCGATCCAACTCCAGTGATGCTATCACCGTCAAAGAGAACCAGCTGGATGAGTTGGGAACTGATACACCTGATGGTAACCCAGCTACCAATAGTGAGATGACCAGTTCCTACACGGATTCGGGTCATTATGACGACTATACGAATTCATCAGTGCATTCCAAGGACTCAATGTTGTGTGATGAGTTTAATGGATCGGTAAGTGTCACCTCCAGAATAAAATTTAAAAAAAACTAATAGGAATTATATTACATAGCCTTTCAAGAAGACAAAGAATGAGATGGTCGATAAGGCAACTGTTGCCAACATGTTGCTCCGTGATTTGGAGTGTGAGCATCAGGAGCTGATGTCTGAATATGAAAAGCGGATCCAGAATCTGGTCAAGGCTCATGAGACGGAGAGCCAGGAGGCGCGTCAGAAACACAACGATAAGGTGGATGAACTATTGCAACGAATCGCCGAAATTAATAAGAAGTAAGGCATACCAGATTCTTCATATTTCTGGATTTTTTCAAAACTGTTGCTATTTTTTCAGATATTGGGAAATTGTGCCCGAATTCGAAAATGCCAAAGAGCGAATCCACGAGTTGGAGGTACAGCTCGAGGAAGCCCTGAAGAAACTCGAAGAGCAAGAAGAAAAGCACAAGAAGTCCTACCTGCAGGTCTACGCCCAAGGCAAAGAAGCAGAAAGACTAGACCACGAAAACAAGGTACGTCCTCCCCTCCCAGTTTACCTTAATACCACAATCTGATGAACAACATACTCCCCAGGTAATGGACTTGGCCGTGGTGAATCAAGCACCATCCCGAATATCTGTCCCGGAACTGCTCCAGCAGTTGCAGGTGACCCAGGCGGAGCTCGAGAACATACGCGTAAGTATCCCCCCCACCCAACTGCTACCAATTGTCACGGTGTGACGTGCTCACACACACTTATAACAACGAGTACTGCGTGTGATTGCTTTCGAATTAACCGATCTTGTGTGTGTTGTTATCTCCTCGACCGTCCGAGACATCCCATGTGTGACTAATGACCGTTTTGTAGGACATTGATTACGCGCCTACCGTGTCATCTTGCTCGCCATCTAACAGCTTGAAACCACTGCTCAGTGCAAAAGAGGCTGTGACTTTATGGGTGTTAGGTGCCAGGAAGGTAATGTGTCGCATCCGTATCCTCCTTAAGTAGACACTTACATAGAGAACACTTTTCGCACGTGATTTCTTCACCGTTCTTCATTTTGGTTTTCTTTGTGTTTATAGCCGCACCCGCTTGTAAATTTTACTGGATTTGTTTGAATTTGAAGATTTTTTTCTAGTTTTTTACCCTCAAAAATGCAAAGGTTGTTTATTTTGATGGGATTGATTTTTGCAGGCGATGTACAAGCAAGTAATGGAGGCGAAGCATAAGAAGATTGATCCGGAGATCACGCTGCAGTTCCTCAAGTCGGCCATCTACTACTTCCTGACCGACAAGGAGAACAGCCAGGGTCACCTGCGCGCCATCCAGAGCATCCTCGGCTTCACGCCCAGCGAGATCGCGAATATAGAAAAGGCGCGCACAACTTAGTGCAAATCTTAGGCGGAATTCAATGCATCATGAGACTGGCGTCAATTTTTGATTGTCGCCGCTCGGAATTATGTATTATTAACTAATGTTGTCCATTATTTATACTATATTGTTGAACAATTGTGATTGGCGGCCGGTCTCGGCCAGCGCCTAGCAAAATCAAAGAAACTGAGTCAAAATAGTCATTTACGCGTTAAGTCCACGTGCAAGTTTTACTAACGCATACGCTACACTATTACCGTTTAATTAAGATGTTAGCGATAAGTTCAGGAGTAGGATAACGTGATAAAGGCCTTGCAAATCTGTCCGAACAGTGAGAACAAAGTGTAAAATCGAAATATTTTCATAGTTGATTTTGCTTCACAGGTGCGTACAATGGCGAGAAAACAATAAACGTGAATTACTTATTATTCAACTGAACACTAGGAAGCAGATAGAGAATTCTATTTATTGTCGTACTTAACTAGGCGTATTCTAAGCGAAACATGTGAAGCACCACTTTCACATGATTGTTGTGTAACTGTTGGACTACTTTTGATTCGAGTATTCGAAGTATAATTAGCGTTTATTCGTGATTAGTTCGTAAGTATTTCGCAAACCCGCAAGGAAATCCTTTTTGTAACATATTTTGATGTAAGACTTGGGTCGGAATCGTGCAATATGGACTGAAAATTCAATGAATTGATGCAAGTTGAAACGAATTTCTTGCTATACACATGCATTACTCAATTACGACGCACGAGAATATCTGTTATATGATTTTTTTTAATTATTAGGACACACGTTTTGTTATGTTGCAAATATTATCAACCTACGTTTATCTGTTGTATTGGATATTGGATAAATAGATGACTTATGATGTATTTGATTGAATTCGGAATCCAATTTCATCCGATTTCTACCCACTCCTCCTCCTCCTTCCATCTCTCTTCGGTACCTGTGTTGTGTGTCGGCGCACGTAACATGTTTTGTTTGTAATCACATCGATGATGGACTGCGCGGCGCCAGCTGCGCAGAAGCACCACCGATGAACATGCTACCTACATACAGTCGGCTGCAGGTTGCAGCGCACTTCTGTTCGACCCTTTCCGCCGCGACAACCTGCTCCTGGTCGTCGCCAGGCAGGTGTTTAATCTTTACCGTTCCTCACTCGCTAATCGCGTGTTAATTCGATAGCTCGCGCACGGAACTTCCAGTCACATTATGTATTAGTGAAGACGCGAATCGCGTTTGACGAGAATGTAGTAAGAAAGCACGGTCAGTTTAGTGTGTGCGGGCCGACGCACCATAGTCGCGCGCATCTCGACCCACGACGTACGCGCTTTATCACTCATTCCACGAAAGCTCTCGACGTCGCCGCTCATCTCCTCTTCCCGGGGATTGTTAAAAACAAACTTATTGATTCGAATTCGCATCGACATTCGCAATCCGCATGCATATTTATCGCCGTAGCTAATTATCGATTGACGTGCGCACTGCAGGATGGATGGTCCGCGAATAAGATGGACAACGCTGGTGGGCACTACGTAGATGCGATCAAGACACTACATCAAACCGTTGTATCACTGCGCGGCGCATTAGAAGAGAGTCGCAATGAGATTCTAGAGCTGCGAGATAAGTCCTGGCCGTTGGAAAACCTCGAAAGTGCGGTTGCGACACTCAGTATTGAGAATCATCTCCTCAGGCAGCAGATTGTCGAAGCGCCCAAAGAAGAAACACGGACACAACATGCCACTGAGTTCAACAAAACAATAACATACAAGAACAAGAAGATTGCTGTGAATATAAATTTAGATATTACGCATAATAGAAGAGACATGGATGAGACGGTTGCTAACAAAGAGGAAGAAGAAGATGATGCGCAGAACGGTGAGGAGAAGCACACATCCAATGCAGTTCTACAACACTCTCCCAGCACTGACCTCATTGATCAGGAAGTCGACAATATTGAGTTGATCTTCACCAATGAAGATACCAAGGAGACAAGTCTGAAGGAACCTCTCATTTCGATAGAAGGAGGCTCCGGAGGCAATGCGGGCCAAGCAGATGGGTTGTTTGTGCCCTCAGCTATGAGGAAACACTCCGACTTTGACCAGAATCTATCAGCGGATATCTCCGATCGAGAACTGGAGGACGATGTGTTCAACGACAATTTTGAGAATGAAAATCAGGAGAATACGAATTTTCAAAGTCAGACTTTTGATTTCACACGTGAAAATTCGCAGATCTACAATTCCAAATCAGACAATTCCATCAACCATGAAGAGATGAAGAGTTTGAAGAGTTTCTACTCCTCATTTCAAGATTCTAGTTTTGAGAATAAGAGTATGGAGAAAGACGAGAGTTTTGATCGATTTGATGAGCGGATTCGATACCTGGAGACGGATATGTCCAAAGTGGGTATCCATGATGTGGAATATGGGAATATGGGCAGGAGGAATACCTGCCCCAATCCATTACAATACAGGCCTATGAGTCATAGGTAAGTAAAAACAATTTCCTGTTGGTATAGCAATATGATGACATATTGACTTTTCAAATAACAGGGAAGCACTACGCGGGATGAATCCATCACGTCCGAAATGCCGACCACTTTTGGCATTCTCAAACGCAGTGCGAAAAGAATCCGGTGCCCAGACAGAGATCTCCGCCCTCCCAGCAAACAGCTCTTGGAGGTCGGAGTCCAGCCTCGCCCTGAAGGTCAAAATGGGCGAGAACTTCATGACGCTACCATCAAAGTTCCCCATGCCAGGGTCACGACTACGTCCCAATGATAAAACCGTCGAAGCACGTCGTATCCTGCTCTCGGATATTGGGTTCACGAGCATGGTGCCAGAGCTATCACGCTCTGCAGACCACCTCTGTCCGACCAACCTGAAGACCTGCCCGTTACAATATGGTCAGTTTCTGAAGACCACTGACTTGTACTCTCCAGGATATGTAAGTATTCTTTTTTTTAAGAAAAAAAAACTGGGAAACGATTTTTTATCCCTTGGACTTCCACAGTCACAAAATGAAGTCTGGAGCTCCACCTCTCCGAGCTGTCGTCATTCCCAATCGCGTTACTCCAGTCTCCTGCCCCTGAGCCCCCCAGCTCCAGGGCAATCACGTCGTTGCTCAGCCCCCGTCTCACCTTCGCGTAAGACCCTCATCCGTACCACAACATCCCGCGTTCGTTTCGCCAACGGTTCCCTCCCGGAACTCCGCAGCGACTGGGGAGCCACCAACGACAGCGGAGACTCCACCGACAGTCTCGTCGACGAGGCGGAGCAATACCTGCGACGGTCCATCGATTGCATAACCAGCGGTAAGGACGCATCTTATTACAGCACGCCCAAGACCGGAATGAGGCGTGCCTCGGCGCCGGAACCCGGTAGGGACAACGTACCACCATCCGGATGGCAGCCGTTCTTACCGCGTCTACCACGAGACCTTCGTCTGGACTACTGGGTCAAAGTTATCTCACCCGAGGGACGTGTTCGAGGCGGACGCGTCCGCTACGTCGGGCATCTGCTCTCTCAATCGGAGCAGTTTGTTGGCGTGCAACTATGCACACCCGATGGACACTCTGATGGGACTTACAATAACAGGAGGTATTTCCAATGGTAAGTTCCAAAAATCATCTTTTATTGATGATTATTTTAAACTTTTTTATATTTTTCAAGTGAACCAAACCATGGAATTTTTGTGCCGTTCCGAAAAGTGATAATGGGTTGGAAACCGTAAGTATTAGACGTAAATAAATGTCAATAATTGTAAATTTCAGTAAGAAGTCCATAATCTCAAGTTACCACTTATGCGTTGACGTGAATTGTAAACACAATGCGCTGCTCATATATTAGATTCAATTTATACAAGCGACTTTATCGCGGACGAGATTTTTTCGAGATGTGCAACTTCCATTTCACAAAAAAAAACCAATGCCAAAGAATACGCATTTACCTATTATTAAATGCAAAAAACGAGAAGAGAAGAGAAGTTAACGCACTAGCTATACCATAGTTTATTCTAGGTTAAACCATTGTCTTATTCTATGGTTATACTAATTGTAATGAACGTTGATAACTATTAAAATGTCTAATGAATCTGTTACTCCGCGGCTATTCGAGAGCTATGCAACCAAGGTGATTGTTCAGTGTACAATATAAAAAAGTCAGAACAAAAAAAATATATATTTCTGTATAATGTATAAAGATGTACCGGAGCGGCATAGAAATAATTCGGCATACTCTTTCGGTTGTTGTCCGAGCAGAGATCGGCGTCTTCTTCACACACACTCTCAGATACATGTGTATTGATGGATGGATCAAGGAACAAGCTTTACATGTACGATAGACACTAAATGCAAGCATATTAAGTAACTGTACACTCAAAATGTATACATATCTGTAAATTAGCCTTAACGACAAATAACCAAATAATTGTACTGCATTTGTTGAGTTATTGGCGGTTTACTTCATTACCGAATTGTGATCAATTGCGTACTTCAATCTTAAATGAACTTAATGTATAGAATCAAGCGATTTCGGTTTTTGTTTTATGTTTTGTGGGCAAAACAGGGGACGTAAACACAAATGAGACTAGTCATGTATAACAATGTATAACAAATTTATTTTTTGAAGCGGAGAGAGAACGCGTTGAGTTAAAGAGAAGAAAGCAGAAACGAAAAGTTGAGATAATTAAGATGATAGATGATTTAAAAGAAAAGAAATGAAGATGTTTTAGTGCGAATGCACAGGAAAATCGGCATACCAGCCGAATGCGCCGTGATCCCCGGTGTGGGCGCCAAAATCAACAGCGTCGTGATGATCGCCGCCTCCGGCTTGACGCTGGGCGCGCACCAGCGAGTCGTCCGCCTCCTGCTCGACGGGCTCGTGCTTTCTGCTTCTCGGGAGTCCGCAAACCAGTGCGCAAACCACAAACAGGATGAAAATCTATCGGGATTTTTAAGTTTTACCATTAGATTCTCTATTGAGTTGTTTCACCGTTGTGTTTTATAGTTTATCGATGTTTGTTTCTTGTGTTGAATAGGAGGAAAGCCTAATTTTGTATAGATTTAAATGAATATTAACTATTATCGCCCAGAGAACCAGAGAAACACGTGTATATTAAAACCAGTAAGGAATAAAATCAATGACAAACTTCACTTACTTGGAGCTTCATTTTTAACTTTAGTGGAATATTGTGTTGTGATCTTGTTCAGTTGATACTGATTTGCTGATCTGCGGATCGCTACTATTTATATCCGCGAAGATCACTTTCACAATTTCACGAACTTTACCAAACCGCAAGTTTTCTACGCATAATTAAAGAAAAAAAGCGTTGAATCGGAAGCAGTGGACGAAAAAAACCAAGCGAAATGAAGCAAAACGACTTCATTGTCACGCTTTTTCAATTCATTGCCGCACATTTGAATTTTTAGCGCTGAAAATCCAGGCGGCGCTGATGTCACGCCCCCCAACTTCCTGTCAAGGCTTGCTGGGCGCGATGGCTGCACTGACAGGCTCTTTATTTCCGTTGGAGTCTACCAGCAACAACACAAAATGGTAAGCAGAGCGTTTGCTCCGTGAATAATCCCATCCAAACAGTGGCAAACACTCGAAATTGTTTTAAAACAACAATATCAACAACTACGCGCGAATTGTGATCGATTTCAACACACAACTGTGAATTTATCGCGTTTGTGGAGTGTGACTATATGGGTTAACCTATACCCGTGTGCAGGCATGTGGTGCTGTGCAGTGAAACACGTTAACGCTTTCGATTCTTTTGCAGACTTGCAAGAGGCGTAATGGAGGACGTGCGAAACACGGCCGCGGGCATGTGAAGCCCGTGCGCTGCACCAATTGCGCTCGCTGCGTGCCCAAGGATAAGGCGATCAAGAAGTTCGTCATCCGCAACATTGTGGAGGCGGCCGCCGTCAGAGATATCACCGAAGCATCGGTGTACCCACGTAAGTACAACCTAAACTCTCAAAACAAAAAAAAAACACCGTAATTAATTGTATTCTTTGTTTGTTTAGAATTTGTTCTGCCCAAGCTCTACGCGAAGCTCCACTACTGTGTATCATGCGCCATCCACAGTAAGGTTGTCCGCAACAGGAGCAAGGAAGACAGGAGGAAGAGAACTCCACCTCAGAGGAACTTCCCAGGCCGGGACACCAACCGTGCCGGTGGCAACGCGCAGAGGAAGTAAACGCGAGTTTCAGATGATTATTAATAATAAAATTTGAAAAAAATATTTCTAGTCTTTTTCAATGTATCACCTAGATGTCAATTTAGTTTTGCAATCCCCCGCCATTTAGACTCAACCGCCGGCGCCATATTGGAGGTTAGAAATGTAAACCGATTTTGAATTTCTCATAGTAGGCGTAAATTTTCAAATTGCAACCGCATAAATGTTTGTTGCAATAGTTTGAAGGGCGCATAATAAAATTACAACTTACTTTTACGTGGATCGATTGTCTGCAGCAACTCTCGAATGGATTAATTACACTTGAAGAAATTTGCACTCTTTATCACGTCACTGCACAACTGCAAAGGACTGATCTGCGGTCTTGCGCAGGCGGCCTAAGAAGAGGAGTATTCAAGGTTGCCTAAGGTTACTGCACATTACACCAAAACTAAACTAAAACAAAAAACACTAAATGACAACTTTAAACTAGTTTTGACAATTTTGACAATATTTACAACATGCATCATATAAAAACACTTAATTTCTTCATCTTCAATCATTATTTACGGTATTTTTAACTTCTCATGCATTATTTAATGACTTTTTGATTGTTTTAGCAAAATTATGACATATTTGATGGAATATCATGCATTAGAACAAAAAATTCATAAAAATAATTCACAAATGCAGGAATAACATGGATAATTATTGTAATGTTAAGCTTATAATTGTTTTACAGTTATTGCTGACTTGACACGCATAGATTGTCATTACTTACCGCATCTACCGAAACTTACGAGGAGAAATGATGCCGACAACAAAATCATCATTTATTTCTTAACCAGCTAAATTAATTATCATTTCGTAAACTAACATTATTGTGTATCGTTTACCAGCTCGGCAATATACCCTGATTCTTTAAGATTTGTGTCCGTGAGCACGGTCTTCTCGCTGGAAGCACCGCGAGTGTGTTTCTGTAAGAATACAGTTTTAGAAATCGCTGGAGTGCAACAAAACATTTAAAAAAAATGAGTTTAGGAAGTTGATCGCTCGAATAGAATAACTGTACAACGAAAGAAAAAAACGCTCCGCACGATCGGTTATTGATTAGAAGTTTTTCTTACTTTCTGTAAACCGTTCTCCATCGCTTCACGCAAATTCTTCTCGAAGACTTTCTTTGCGTCCGAGAAACCGTGCTTTGTCTTCCCGAACGAGTTTGGCCCTGATGACGTTGGCGTATCTCTATTAAAACATAAATTTTAGTAAATTTTCTACGCTTTTTCAAGTAATACTTCATTTACCTGCCGATGTTGCGCATGCGCATCTTTGCTTCCGGCGGCATTTCCTCCGGTTCATCATCGCTGTCCTGATTAAACGCGGTTGCAACTGAGATCTTTGGCCGTGCGACCGTGGAGGCGGCATTAATCGGCCGTTGGCTGTTCAGCTTCATCTGAATACCCATGCTCTTCAAGCGGTTCTTGGCGGCCAGGCCAATGTTCTCCATGGGGCGGTCATCACCGCGCGGGGAGCGCGAACGAGATCGCTCGCGCACAAAGCCTGACAAACACTGACAAATTTAAGCAAAACTTTAATTTGCGACAAAGCTGTGATCGACTAAAAATGCATGCGACTGCAACGATCCCAAAACTCAAACATTCAGAGATTCAATTGTTTCAGAGCGAACAAGTCTAAACTGATTTACAAAGTTGACAAAAGTGACAAAACATAAGTAAACGAGTAATAATAAACTATTAAACAAATACGAATAACAAATAACAAAACAAAGTGAAGAACGTGAGGGGATGCAGAGAGGTTATGTCGAAGTGATTGCAAAATGTGCATTTTACCAGGCTTGTGGCGTTTGTAATCGTCCGTGCTGCGTCTGCTCATGCTTCCTGGACTCTTAATTGTGATTTGTAGCCGTCTTTTGTTGTACACTTTGATGCAGTTCCCATTAATCGATCGATTTCATGCTAAAAATAACGCGTAGGAAAAGAACTGCATAGGTATGTACTTAGTGTACTCACTGTAACACTACGAATGACGCAGAACTATCAGGTCCGCATTTATTCAATAAATTCGCATTAATTTGATCTAAATATATGAAAATAAAGACTGTAGATCATAGAAAAATATTATAACAATATAATTTAGTTATAAAAACGTAAAAGAATCATATTAAACTCGTAAATAAATTGTGAGAAATATTAATTTGTGTCCTGCTGAGATGTTGCGCGCGCACACTTCAACCGTGCTGCAGGAAGGCAGACAAGCGATTGCAGCGACATCTTCAAACCGATGTTATTTTAAACGCAACTACTTTGAATTTGACCAGAGCCAACCAGAGCTAAAACTCTGTTAAAAAATCGTATTGTGCTTAATAAAACCAAAGATTTCGATTAATTAACACCTGATTTAGTTTCTGGAAGTGTTCTACGCATCTACACCATCGATTTTGCTGGGAAACCTCGCTGAAAAGGTAAGTAAAGGTTAAAATCCCTCGTTTTACTTGTATAACTTTACGCGCTTGATTTTCACAAGAAGAAAGAAAAATAAAATGGCAGACGCAAGTGGAGACGAGCAGGGCAAAAAGAAGTACTTCTATTTTGATCCCTACGATAGCGATGCGGATGATGAATTACCAATAGAACCATATAAGAATATCTCCCCCGAAGAATGGCAGAAGTATTTGAACGAGGAGGACACCGACATGGATTTTTTGAAGAATATCGATCCAGAAATCCTGCGCAAGTTTATACATGATCAGATCGATGAAATGACATTGGGGATTATTTTTGCAGCGCATAAGCAAGCATCAATAGAAGCTGCGTACGTGGAGGACAGCTCAGAAGGGGAAACAACGCCGGAACGCACCGGGACGCCCACACCTGAAGGAGATCAGCCCGCTGAGCGTGATCAGCCCATAAATCGCGAAGTTTCCTTGGAACGTGGAGATCCTCCTGAAGAGGATATTTTTGGTAATGATATTCTCATGCCAACAACCTGCACATGTCCCAATTGTGACAGAGTTCTGGCTTTGCAACGGTAACATCAAAACAACAAAAATAAAAATAAATTAGTGTAAGTAATTAAACACATTTAAAATTATACAGATACGCAGCTCATCTAGAACAATGCATGGGTATTGGCGGACGCAGAAGAAATCCTTCCCGAGGCTCCAGAGGAAACGAAAATCGCGACTAAGTTTAATTAAATCTATTGTTTAACCGAATAAATTTACGCATTTTCACGTATTTTGCGCAATATTTAAAAAAATCAATATTTATTAGTCCCAAAGACAATCAGCAATAATATAACAATCAAAGAGTACAAAGAAACTTTAAATCTAACAAAACAAACGGTACAAAACGTAAAATGAGTGACAAAAAGTAGAAAAATGAGTTTTTAGTGAGATTCTGAGTTTAGCAGGGAACAATCTGCATTTTTAACATGATAGGGCAATGATCACTGCCTTTATACTCAGGCAGAATTAAACTATCAAGCATGTAAATTATAAACCTTTTTGATATGATGAAATAATCCAGTCGCCAGCCAATGTTTCTGGCGCGACTATTCGAGAAATACGACCAGAAAGTATATTTCTCCCTTAGAGAAGGATAAAGATGCCTGTATGAGTCAATGAATCCCGTTTTCAACAGTGCAGTCATTCCATCGCGCTCCTCGGGAGTAAACCCGGCATTATTTGCGTTTTTCTTCGGATTTGTCAGATCTATCTCCATGTGAGCGACATTCATGTCACCCGCGATGATAACCGGCTTGGCTCTGTCCAATGCCTTCACATATTTAGAAAATATTTTATCGAATTCCATTCTTTTACCGAGAGTGACAAGTTTCCTCCCGGAATTCTGCACATACACGCATAACACGTGGAATTTATAAAACTCCACGTGGATTACACGCCCATTGAAAATCACCTCATCATCTTCAAAGGTGGTTGTAACTTGAAACGGTGTAATCTTGGTGAGTACAACACAACCAGCATGCCCTTTCACTGGTGATTCAGTCTGATACAACTTGTATCCCTTTTCTTTGATGGCGAGAACCTGCGCGGGTAATTGCTCCGGCGTGCATTTGACCTCTTGTAAACAAATCATGTCTGGTTTTAGTTCTAGGAGATTATCCAGCCCGCCTTTATTGGCGCACGCTCGTAATCCAGCTACGTTCCATGAGACAATGTTGAACTCGACATTTGCGGGGTCGTAATGTTTTATTTTGGCAAGAGGCTCATCCTGTGAGGAGTCAGAGGTCTCTGACTCAGAGTAAGAGTCTGAGGTTGTTTGGTATCTACGGCTCTTGCTCCTGCTCGAGCTGGATGCAGGTGAAGCCCTCCTGCGTCGCTGTGAACACAATGACATATCACTACCTGATGATGATGTGTAGCTGGTGAAGGATCGTGCGGGGCTTGGAGTTGCAGAGCTGCGACGAGTTGGAGTATTGGGGAAACTTGGGCTGCAGCCAAGGGAGACTGTGGATGTAGAGGAAGCGTGTAGGGATTCGCTTTCTGATTCACTAGCAGATGCGTGAGGAGATTCCGCGTCTCCTGCGGAACTATCAGTTTCGGAGCCAGCATGTGCAGGGGAAGTAGCAGTGGCAGGAGTTCTAATGTAAGGATTTATGCCGCTAGGTTTGCGGCCGGGTCTGACGCAGATATTCATCAGAATTCGGAAGTTAGGAGACTAGGATTTACAATATAAAAAAAAATTAGGTAGTCAGGAGTGAAATGTTGGAAGAAACATAAAATAAACTACTTACTTTGTTGGGCGCAGCTTCTTCATGGTCAGACATCTTCGTTAGGCTAGAAACTGGAATTTTAAAGAGATTATAAACCCTTGGTTTGTTATAAAAACGCCGGTGAAGCACAGATTCAACCGTGTAAAAATTAAGGTTAAAGACTCGTCGCATACAATGCGCCATCACTTGACCAATTGACAATGGATGTCTAGATTTGTCAATAAAAATATTGCTTTATGATGAATTATCAAGAAAAAACCTGTATAATCAATCCAAAGCGATTACAATCAAAGCAACATCGAATAATTCTTAATATTTAGTAAAACAACGAGTAAAAACAGCAATATTCTTACCAGAAACAAGAAAATACGAGCAGATCGAACCGCACACCTCTGAATTGTGTAAAGAAATAGACCGGATGTTTATTGTTGTTCTTTCAGTTGTTTTTACAAAGCGTCTCTGGTGGAGATTTCAGAAAGCTTCTTTTTTTAAAATTTTTAAACTGAAATTTCAAGTATTGCAGCAAGTGACATTTATTCAAAATACAATCTTGCATTAAAACAATAAATTTCAATCATCCGGTGGCAAATAAAACACAAAAACCAACCAGTTTTGTGAGAATTACCAATTCTATCATGTTCAATGTCATTATACAAGATATTATAAGATATGGCATGGTCAGAGGTTTGGATATTCAACTAAAACTTAAAGCTTTCTCTCCCGGTGTGCAAATCAAAGTGTTATCATGACACATACATCTATCCAGCCTAATATGTCATCCCCAGCACATAAATTAAACTCTATACAAACAATTCTTTGGGTTAAGTACATGTGCACGACCTGCAAATTCGTCCTCCGCTATTCGTAGTTAATATTCGACGATTTGTACGCTTCAGGCGGTTCTGCATCGACGTCTACAATCCTAGGAACTAAACCAGCCGGAAAAGTAGCCTTCCAGCGGTGTGCGTGGTTCCGACCTGGGCTCAGACCTTGTCTCTGCGTCCCCGCTAGCAGCAGTATCCTCCTGGGCAGCATCCGCGCACTTTTCTGGATCTCCTCCGGTTTGTACCAAAGAATTAGTCTCGGCTTGCACACGCATTTCATATTTGCGTACATCTGGATAGGACATGTCGATCCAGTCGTCAATCCATGCAAATGCTTGCCTATGCCCCACAAGGAGCACCTCTTTGATACAAGAGTGAATAAACTCTTCGACTCTGGTCTGCAGACCCCACACTTCAAAATACGCGCTTACCAATTTATAGGAACACATGATCGGTTGATGTGTTGTACGCCAACCCTCTACCAACGGCCCACGGTGTGTCTTGCTACTCTGAAAGAAACGTGGGTCTTCCTCTTCTTTATAATGCTTGGGACTGACTTCATCATAAGCAATATCAATATGTTCAACAATTCGATTCGCAGCCTCAGCTTGACTCAGTTTGAGCGCGTTTTCTGAGCTGCCGCTGTTGTTTTCATAACAGGTTTTGATTGAGATGGAAAACGCGGCAGGAATGAGCAATTGTACTCAGTGATGGTGAATGGGTAGTAGTTCCAGGCCTTCTCTGTGATGTAAAACACTTTGGGCAGGAGACTCTGCACCCAGTAGGGAAGACGCGTGGAGAGATGAATACGCTTCTCGGTGTAAACGCCGCAGCCGTGCTCGGGATCCTCGCATTGCCGGTTCTCAACCACCTCGACGCCCTCACCACCACCAGACTGTTCTTTGCTGTGTCTTGCAATCATGTACAGTTGACCAACATGATACTAAATCATAATAATTAATCAATGGCAGTGGATATTTTAAAAGCGCACGTACCTCTTGAACGCTGATTGGCATGCATATCCGGTATTCCTTCGTCAGGACCATTGTTGCAGCGAAAACACCGACGTGATTATTTGGAATTTAATGTTTAATGTAGAGTTTAACATTTACATTTACATTGTAGAGGTTAATATGGAATTCCTGCAGACAGCAGGAATCTGATTAGTTGATGAAATCACCACTAGATGGCGCTGCAATGTCCGAATTGAGCGCAAATTGTAATAATGTAATCTAATGTTTACAGTAATTCAATGTTTACTGAATCTACAAGTTTATTGAACGGTGACATTGATTACTCTAGGAGAAAAGCGTTTGTTCTCTAAACGCTACGCTGAATAGCAGGGGATGGGAAGATTTACGCTTCGACTAATGCCTCGCGACGTATTTATTTTCGTATTTACAAGCGCGCATTAATTATCAAGGCGAGGGGAGAAGACTTTCAGCTATTTTCAGCCACCGCGCAAACCCATAATATGACAGATTACACACTCGGCTAAAGATCTGCGACTACAATCGATTTAAACGCGGGGGAAACGCACGAAATTCTGTGGGTGTGTGTTTTTTTTTTATTTCTTCTTCTTTCCCTAGTGTGTAGAGGAAAGTTTACGAATGTCGTGATTAAGTTTTTAGTACTTCATTAAAGCGACTTTTATCCGCTGCCAAAAACGGCTCTGCTCGCGCCCGTCGACACATTTAAATCCAAGACAATTCCAGTCGCGCGCTGGAAAAAATCAAAGAATGCGCATGTTTATTGTTGCTGGAATACATCTTCTTCGCGCGTTGTTTATTTTTGGAAATGGACGCCCGACGCCCGTTTGATTCGGGCTTAAGTCTGATCAAAATAAGCACGCGATAACAAAACATCTGTGCCTTCGAACGTGATTTTCTGTTTATTTTCCACTATCTGCCCGATTAAAATAGATTAGTGCGGTGCTTAGATCAACAAATGCGCGCCGCGGTGAATGTTTCCCCAAAGTGATCATCTTCGACGGAGGATCAATTCACGATTCGGAATAAATTCGGTGTGCCAGCGAGAACAATAAATCACGCGCGGCGTTCGTGGACGTGTACTCGACCTGCCGGAATGTCTCAATGTATTTAAAGCGTTCCGAAGTGGCGCGACTTCTTTAATCTGGCATCTTGCAGACATTGCAGACAATGCCTCGCGCCTTCTTCGTCGTTTACGGTCTGCTCCCACCGGTGGTTATTCTTAGCCGGCTGTTTATCCTGCGCGGAGACATCTAAAGATATTCGCTTTTGCAAAAATCGACAATTAAGTCGCAAAAAGTGCGCGCCGCGGCAAGCGACAGAAAATAGCTCTTAGGGCGACTGCCGGTTTGTTTGTTTAAAGGAAATATTTGTAAACATTTCCATTGGGGTCCTCGGGGGATCGTTGCGGAGCTGTTGACACACTGTGTCGTCCTGTTTATCTCTTTGGGTACTTGCTGCCGGTGTTGAGACATGTCAAGTTAAGTGTCATGTTCCCATCTTGTTCAACACGTTGCCGAAACCATCAATTACAAATCTTGCAAAAATTTTCAACAACTTTTCTTTTTTTTGTCAAAAAGAAAACAAATTAATACCTATTTTTATTTGTATATGTTACCAGTATGTAGTAAAAATGATGGTTTTTTAATAGATTATGACTACTTGTTGTCTAGTTTGAGAATTTCTGGATTTTTTCAAGCATGAATGATGTCGTGATAAAATGTGACATATCGTGCTCGGACCAGCCTGCGGCGCATCAACCATCGGCATCAGCTCGAGTTCGAGTGAAACTTAAAAATAGCGACGAAACAATGCGTGACGAGCAGACAGCAATGGCTTTACTCTTGGATAATTAATGATGGCTCGTAAACAAACGTCGCGCATGAGATGAGATGCATCTTTGCTCCGAGAACGGAACAAGAAAAAATTGCGGCTGGAAATAATTTTTGGGGCGATTTTATCTCCTGGCGATTCGAATCGTGATTTGGCCATCTCTTAAAAATAAAATCATCTATGTTTTCGAATAACATTCCCGGCGTGTGTAGCAACGCTTCACAATTTAGTGGCTTTTAATGATTACGAGATAGGTTCATGCTCAGCGAAGACGCAATTAAAGTATATCCCGGTTGGAACACGTGTTGGCGGTTATGCGATTAAACGCACTTAACTACACATCCCCGACGCACGGGTGCGGCACGTGCGCCACCCCGAGAAGTGCGTAATTGCCGTGGGCTTTTAGTGCACTACGTGCCGCATATGGTTAGGGGATGACATCCGTTTTGCGGCAACAACGATTTATTTTTACCTCTCCGGGATTTTTACGCCGGAATTCTCAGCGCAGATTGCTGTCCGACTTCATTTCCTCAAATATCTCCACTCGCCGGATATTACAAAGATTCGCTTATACTCATTGCACATCAGAGTTTATAAGCTTTATTCTCGGCGTGTGCTGCGCATCGTCAAAAGTCATTGACATATTGAATCGCAGCGGCGGACAGTACGCCATTTCATTGCACTGGCGAACATGATATCTCAATAAAAATACAGCATTCAGATGCATTTCGAGCATAAAACACTCCCGACGCCTGTCTAACATGCAAACAAACAAGAGGAAGATTGGAAATTGAACTCAGACACTAGACGTAAACAGTCGCATCGATTTATACGAGTAGATTCAAATTTTAAATTAAAAAAAAAAAAACGATTTTTATGATTTTACTTCATTGTGAAGTGAATTTTTGCGAATATCGATAATAAGGGTGTCTGAAGGGTCAAGCCGCAGGGTGTGGACACAAATAAGGGAGCGCCGGACGTATCGCACCCTTTTAAGTAATTATTGTTGGCGTGATGAGCTCCAATTTATCATGCGAGCAATTTTTTTATTACTTTCACTGTCGGTTTAACAATGACACAGTTACCGCCGGTAAAACTGAAGGATTAAATTATTAAGCGCACTGTCTGTCGGCGGTCGCAGGGAGACAAGGGAGGAGGAAAGTGCAGGAGATTCTTCGTTTCGTCGGCGGGTCGCCGTCAGTTGCGTGTCGCACGTGCTCGCGAGAGGTGTGGAAGTTGAGCGGACGATTTCCTCAGTTTTCCAAACAGTTTTCGGAGTGATAATGCCACAAATTTAAACAAAAATGTTTTAAATTTATTAAAAATAATTAATAAACAAAGAAAAAGTGAGCAATGCCATGGATTACCTGTGGATATTTGCTTTGATGTTCTCTTGGTACCAGTGCACCGCTGATAATTTAGGTGATAATTTAATTTTTTGATTGTTGTACACGTATTTCATGCATGTATTAGTCTTGAAAACGGTCAATAAATTAGTAGAATTTCACTTGACAGCGCGTGCTACGTGCTCTGCGTTGTACTCGTATTTTAGTAGCGTCGTTAAAGTGTTACTGAAATATTTGACGAATTTAGACCGATCTGTGTCACATGCGATCGTTTTCATTTCGCAGTTGTTGAGGTAACACCCTCACAGGCTAAAATAAGCACGTTTCTGGTACGCCTAGTTAGATGTTATGAATTTTCAGCATTGCTCTCGGGTACCCTGCGTACTTACCAACAAGCAGGTTGTGATGATGATGTGGTGAGTCTCAAGTGTCCACCGGGTACCACTATCTCCGTGACTGTCGCGCAGTATGGAATCTATGCGGCTAGCAAGCATCTGTGTCCTGCCAAAGCGGTCCCCTTTGCGAATTCGCAAATTCCCGATGATAGTCAGTCTTGTTTGTGGCCTAAAGCTTTACAGGTCAGTGGTAGATACTTTTTTTTGTTGTGTTTTGTCTGGGGGAAGACTACCATCACTTATCGCTGACGTTGCTTAGTACTCCCTGTTGCAGACCGTGGTCGAGGCATGCCAGAAGAAGAGCACGTGTCAGTTTCATGCGTCTCCTGCTACCTTTGATGGTGATCCATGTCCGGGTGAACGGAAGTACGTGGAGGTAGCCTATAAATGTCGCCCCTGTAAGTTTTTAGTATTTTTTTAACAGCAATTTTAAAGTGGTACCGCATTACAGATGAGTTTCGTAGTCGTGTGGCATGTGAGAATGAACGCATTCAATTGCAATGTGCTCCAAATTCCAGAGTGGCGATTTATAGCGCTAGTTATGGTCGCACGGAGTATGAGAGCTCACAATGTCCACAACCACAAGGTGTTGCCGAAGAAAGTATGATGATTTATTCTAAGACTACCCATGAAATGTTTTTTAAATTTTTTTAAATAAATTTTAGCATGTTTAGTGAGCTATGCAACGGAAACAGTGATGCAGATCTGTCACGGAAAGAGAAGGTGTGACATATCCGCGGATGCCAGCACATTTGGTAATCCCTGCAGGCCACAAACCAGGATGTACCTTCGTATAGTATACACCTGCGGTAGGTACCATCAATTCCCAACTTGAATAGACTTCATTACCTTTCAAAATCTCAGTCCCCAGAAAAGTATTGAATAAACAGTACGATGGACAATTGGAAAGTGATGAAACCGATACAGATTTGGATGTGACCCATGACCAGGACGATTTCGCCAGTTGGGATTCACGTGAAGCAATGCAATCTACAACTGCTCCTGGTGTGCATAAAACTGCCATGAATGCAACTAAAACCCGCCTGGTTTTTGACCAGAAAAACAGAACCAGTTCCATAATGCCAAAAACCATGAGGAAGAATGTTACCCAAAGCCAAATGGACGCAGGTATTAAAATTTCAGTGATTAGTGTTTGGTTTCTGTTGGTTTTTGAGTTGTGCATGTGTGATGTGATTAAGCTTCCTAGTTTCGCTTGCAGTTGACCCGAGTGAAAACACAATTTTGGTCACTCCTGGTGAACGCGATCAAGTGATCGGATTCATTTCAGCCTGGATCAATACGTACACATACGTCTCAAGTGAGTTATTCAATGGAGTGGTGATTGTTTGCATGATTTTTATTAGAAAACACGAAAAATTTAGAATAATTTTATGTTTTTCGATGTTTTTTAACGTTTTTATAGAAAATCATGAAAGATTCTACGTCTACTTGCTGGCGTGCCTTGGAGCAGTTATCCTGCTCTGTGTGGCGATCTTCTCCAGCCGTTTGTTGATCCGGCGGCGGCGAGAAAAACACACTGAAGGGCATTCCGTCGATGTCGGGGACGGCAGCGTGGCGCATGGTTTCGTGGACGATATCAGCGAAGTAGATGCTGATATCGACCTCAGTCCACCCAGCGACGTGGTACTTCACACGCACTACGGTGGGCGACTGGGCAGTTTCGCGGCGGAGATGCCGCGTAGTGTGAGCCACGCCGCCGCCAGCGTGTATTACTACGGATGACGGGGCGGCCCGGGCGTTCCGACGTCGCCGGCGTGCCCGGGCCAACGCACTTACTGCTTCTGAGAGTGCGCACAGTGCAAGATTTTGTACATACAATTGGCAGGAAGGACACTTAACGCCTAAGCATATGTAACTTATTGATATTTATGTTTAGTTTTAGTAGATTTGTATACTTCTAATAAATATTTATTAAATTTTCGACACATTTGGGGACATTCCAGTTGATCAACTGATCAGGAATGAAATTACGTCGTAAACAATGCCTTTATTGACTTAACTTTACGCATAGCGGATTTATCTGGAGGCAAAGTCATGAAACTGCCTATCATGCAACTCTTTATCTTCCTGCACGAATGTAAACCCAAATATTTCGCCGGCGAATCAACATCAAAACATTTGTTTCTCCTTTCATTTAAACACAGTGCATTGAGTTGAATTGAGTCACCGTCTTACCACAGTTCTAACACTACCATATATGGATAGAAATCCCCCTTCGTGCGCATAGACACCCCAAACACCGTCTTTCTCTTTCTGACCATGGATTCACAAGCACAACAATCACCGCATATTCAAACCGTCATGAAGTCGAAACATTCTTCATTGGATAATTATTTTTCTGTGTCAACTCGCCTAATGCTATACAAAATAAAAACATCGGATACACGCGAAGAAAATTCGAGAACAAACGATTATGGATCACCATCAGTTAAATTCGAGCAGGCGTTGAAACGCTCTGCATCTGTTTCAACAACGGAGACAATTGCCAATCGTGTAAATAATCAAACTAATAAAGAAAAGCAACGGAGAATTCAGGAGGCCACGAAGAGATTGATTTGTGCACTTCCCGATGGTTCGTGCTCGAGGAAGTTGAAAGAGAGGTACCAGCAGTGTTACAACGAGAAGATTGACGCTAAAAGTATTCCTGCCGGTAAGCAGGACGGGAAATTTGAGATGTCGAAGGAGACGCACACTTCCACCGACGAAACGATCCCGTTTGTCCTACCAGGAGGGACAGAAATGGTAAAAAAACGGAATTATTTTGATTATTATTCAAATTTTGAATTTTTTCTTCAGCATTTCGATAGCAATGGGTACCCGCATGATGTTATGCTTCCTGGGGATACAATTCCCGTTGCTATGATGTCCAACGACGATAAACAAATCTATTCTCCTGTAACCATTGATGAAGCTTATGATCCTTCCAAGTTTTGGTTCACACTTGCGAATAATGAACAGAAAATAGAGGAATATATTCAAAGTATCGAGTATGTTGAAGATGTAGTCTAATAATCCTTGTTTACTGCTTTTTTAATGAAAATATTTACTTCCAGGGATTTTTACAGTGTTCACAGCGTGGATTACGCTGTTTCAGAAACACAGCTGGTTCCTGGATTGTATGTGATTGTGTTTGAACGTGAAATGCAAGTCTACCGCGCTGTGGTGGCCAAGGTCAATCCCATCAAGGTATTTTGTATCGATGATGGCGACGTGCAACGGGGCACTTTGGATAATATTTACTTCATGCACAAGAAGTTTAGTGATTTACCCAGACAAGCCCTGCGTGGGCGGTTGTCAGGTGTGGTACCACCAGGTAAAAATGCGCAGTGGAGTCGCGAAGCTGCTTACAGATTTTTGGAACTCGTCCAGTTGAGGAAGTTCGATGGTTCAATTGTCCGTACTGACTGTTCAGTAAGTACAAGAATACCAAACAAGTTGGTCATGTTATAAGAATAATGTTTTATAGCAAGGGGATAGGATCTACGAGCTGGTACTCCGCGATTCGTCGAAGGACGGAGAGATCTTTATTCATGATGTACTCCTGAGTGAAGGCTGTGCCATTACACCTGATCAGGTAAATTACTAATTAATTTCTTCAAAATGTTTTTATATTTATTACTGATAGGAGCCTTGGGAGGCCGTACAAGCTGACTACGAGCCAGCCGTGACCAATCTTCACTTGTACCCTTTATTCATTGAAATCGAAATGGCCGTTGTCCCCACACATGCTGAAATGCGCCAGTTGATTGCCCGGAATGTCCCACTTTATGAAATATATCCGATTTATTTCAACCGCGTTGCGGATAACAAAGTTATACAATGGTTGAAGGATTCTGCAGGTGCAACCAAACAAGAAATCGAACGTGTTGTTAATGATCGTGGTTCTGCAAGTGGAGAATCATCAATTTCCCTCGGAATGGAGGGATTACACACATTTGAAGAACAAGAACAAGACGAACGGGAAGTTACACTGGATAATATTGATGATGTTGTTCCACCTCAACCTCTACCTGTGGTACCACCTTTTCCTACAATTATAGTACGGAAGGGACCCGATTATATTCATCGGGGACTCTTTAATAATATCCCCAGTTTGAATTGTGGGTTTCCACTGCTACATCCAGTGCTACGGAACAATTTCCTGCATGATCCTCAGACCCATTGGAGGCAAATGATGCAATGCAGACAACGTGTCCGGGAATTCTTTCAAAATCAACCCAGAGGATCCGTGTTTCAACCCGCAGTAAGAAAACCATTGAATTGTGCATGGGAACCCATTGACGATAGGGTTACGTCAACCACCGATGGTCCCTTGACCAATACCAACCTGGTACCTGAGGAGACATGCATGAAAATATCACAAAAAAAGAAATACGTTATTAGCACTTGTAAGTATGGGGTATATTTCAACATAATTTTATCCAGGGCATGTTTTCAGTGTTTTTGGGAAAACCAATCCATATAATACGTATAATGTCGTTACCCTGCGTGGCGGTGCTGGAAATCCAGGAAATGTTCACCGGGAGGAAAGATATTGATCTTCTACGGCGTTTGTTTATAGTGACCGACCTGGTAATGTCGGTTTTGCGACTTGACAGTATAAATTACCAGCTTCTGCATGAGCTGGCAACGAATCATCTTTTCAGTGACCATTCCTGCATGCAGTACACAAGCCTCAGCTCTTTGCAAAAAATGGTCACGTGTATAACACGCGAAGAGTGTGTATATCCGAATTTCAAGGAATGGGTTGATCAGTTTTCCGAACAGAGTTCCATTTGGAATTTTGAGGATTAATTACGAACTTTTACTTTAAAAGTATCATTTTTTGGTTTTGTTTTTGTGTTTCTTTTGATTTTTTTGATGTTATTCGTTGTTGAGCTACAGTTAAGTTTGTGTTTCCATGAATTGGTTAATAGTTTTAAAAATTGACGAAGTGTAACAATTAAATCCAGTGTTATTACAATTTTAATTGTTATTCTCACAAAAGTACAATTGGTACAAGGAAACTTTAGCATCACGTATAGTTCTATTCATATCTCAGTAGATGGCGCTAGTAATTCCATCAGAAACAAAAATTCTCAAGGTAACAAGATTAGATTCGGATTAAAATAGATTCCACATTCAGTTTTAACCGATTCTTGCGGTCAAAGTCGTTGCACATTCGTAGGCTTATCATACATTCAACCAGCGGCATCAAAGAGAAACATTAATAGTCCAGCAATGACGCATCAAAGATATGTTTCGTTTGACATGCAAATTCACCAGCGCTTGTGCACTATTCACTCCTACACGGCAGCAAAATCGAAAAAAAGAGAGCATTTTTACATTTCACATTCTAATATTCTAATCGAATACATCATCCGCGTGACATTTGCCGCCGCATTACATCTGGTAAATCACGCGCGCTGTGTTTGACGTGCGCATTTTAATAAAAAAGTTACCAGAAATTTGTCAACGCGCGAAACAACTTATTGAAACGCCGGCGAGTAAGGTAAACACACCAGAAAGTTAAAACATTTATTAATTTCAACACAAACAGAGCGATAAAAGCTGAAATGCGCCCAGAGTCGGCTTTTATTCGCGCCTGTCTTTTGTCCGCTTTAATTAAGTTTTATCGCATTGCAACGCAACGTGTATAGCTAGCAGCAGATTAAGCTGGTGGAAACAAATGTTTCAACCAGCGGATGATGAACTGGATCACGAGTGCTGCTCTGAGTATCCGAATGGTACTTGTCAGCAAGTTATTATTCCCGGCGACGTTTCTATCAGAAAAAAGTGATAATAAAACCTGGTTGGAAACTCGAGTACAGGTGTTACGCGCGCGCGTTATAAATACGTTTAATTCCGCGTCAAATTTGATATTTTTCCCCGGGTTATATTTCCGCTACAGGGTGTTTCAACCCAGTGGCATATTTATTATCACAGTGAATCGGCGAGTTTCGTTGAACGTCCGCATTTTTTCCGGTGGACGTTAATAAATTGCGCAATTTTAACCGTAGTGCCGGCAGTTTTGCACGTCACGCATGCGCACACGTCGAGTTATACTTGCTGGATTCCTCCTGCTATGAATGGACAATGATCCATTACGAAATGACTTATTAAACGATTTTTTTACAGCGCGTATTAATTAATTTCCACCACTTACGTCATTATACACTAATGAAAAAATAACAATACGCGTGTAATCTCGTCGTAATTGATTTACATATCATAAATGCGACATTAAGGGTCAGTGCACGTACACGCACTGCTGCTCCATACCGCCCCACAGTCATAAAAATCCATAATTCCCTGCTATGCATACAAAATTAAAAAAAAATTTTTTTTTTTAAATTTGTTTCCACGTTTTATACAACTTAGTTTATAAAAATAAATTTACCTGGATGATTTTGTGTATAAAACAAGCAGGAATCGTTGATCAAGTGGTTAAACTACGCTACCCGACGAAGGGTGCGCGCGTTGTATGCGCACCCTGCTGTCCTGCGAGTGCGCCGTTTGCGTCCTGCTCGGTGCGTCAGTCGCCGTGCGGCCGTCCCACGCAGCGAGCAGGAGCCACCGCAGTGGGCTCGCGCTCTGTGAACCGTGACGCGCGTGTTGTCTAACCGCGGCTCGCGAACATTATCGACGCACCAGAGGAATGCGAGTGGCAGACAATCAGCACGACACACCGCCGCCGATCAACTAGCATCTCCTGGGCCTGGTCCTGTTCCTGCACACCGTCTGGCATCCAGAGAGCAGCGAATCCTGCGCTACTTCCAAAGGTAAATTTCATAAATTCGTGGCCATGCGGGTTGGCATAGCAACGCGCCGAACACATCTCCGCTGAAAACACGCGGGAATTGTTTGTATTCTTGGCGTACGTGCGGTTAATTTCACACTCGGCGTGAATAACTTGAAATTTATTCGCATTGTTGTTGTTTTCATGACGAATCTTGCAAGTAATATTATCATTCACGCAGTTGTTTACAACTTTATCAGGTGTTATGTGTGAGTGTAGATGGGGATATCACAATTTGTGATGGAATGTGTTAAATGTTGGCGATTTGCGATCGTTTCGAACGCGCTGTAGATTTAATTAGCGTATTAATGCGTTGTAGTGGTCCAGAGTTCTCAATCCCGAATATCCTATGCATAATACAGTGATGGATTATACTATTCACGTCATAGAGAACATTCTGCTGCAGGTTCAATTGTATAATAGCCCATCAGGTTGAATTACGCGCCTCGGAGATCGGTGCTTAAACAATAATCGGAATCTTCGGGCATTCGGGGCGCGCAATCACTTACTGCAAGTAATTAAAACTACCGCAGCCGGTTTTTTTTTCTTCTCAGTGCTTTGTTCGAATCTGTGCGTTCATTAATCAACCTCCAAGCGCGCGCAGATGTAGTTAATAATTGCTACAAATCTATTGTGCATCGACCATTATTATATCTTTATGTTTGTTTATTATTGGGTTAATAAACCGAAGGCTACACGCGATGAATTTGTGTTGATCGTGTGACAATCACTGCGCTGCGCATGGCTGGGCGCGAATTAAAAATCCTTCGTGAAAATGCACGTCAATTTCCGAATAATATGCCCCCGGAACAAACAAATGCACTTCGCGATTCACGATCCAGGCTGAATGTTTCATTTCGGCGTAATTTATTAATTGAAGCAAGGAACGCATTACCCAGTTGACGCAGTCGAGTGTTAATTACTAGTAATGGAATATTTGTAAATAATTCATTTGTCTTTTGAAGTGGCAGCTTGTGATCCGTTCGCGTGCGTGTGCGGTTTCATGTTGTGCACTTATTCGTCACAGTGCTAAACAGTTTTTGAGAAGTTTGAAGCTTTTCAAATGCCAGAAGGGCTGCGAACAAGTTGCCAACCGAACGTTCGATACTTACGTGTTTCGCTCCAATTACTCTAATTAACTTGTTAGCTCGAAATTACAGCGTTGCACGGTGAAAACTCCAAACGTAATTGATGTACCTACTCATATTTGCAAACCGTTTAAATGTATTGTTTTATTGTGTTAAATTACACAATTTTTTAAAATGTATTTAAAAAAAATTAGAATTTTTGGTTGTAAGTGATGAGTTTTTTGAATTTCGTAAAAGGAGAGAGTTTCTTGATGATTCCGGCTTTTTGATTTTGTTCAACGCAGAGATAGATTTCCTCATGCTTGTACCAATCGCCAAGATTACCATCAACCGTTGAATTCTTTGAATTTGGATCAGGTTTGAGAAAATCTAAAATACAAAAATTGCGAAACATAATATTTCACTATCAATCTGATTTCTTTACTAAATTCATTCACCAGCAGTGGGTCGAATCTGTGGCGATCGGAATCGCAGCCCGTAGAAACTTATCGGCCCGGTTAGGAATCGCCAGTGCTTGATTGTGTTGTATCGGGACATGCTTTCGGGATTCAATGTAAAAATACACAGTATGCAGGTTTACAGGCTTTACAGGCTGACAATTCAAATTATTTCTGACATCGTCCGAGGCCGATTTGATATTTGAAACGTTTTGAAAGTAATTTTTTCCTGAGTTTTTTTTTGTTGTTCTGGTTTATAGGAGGTCTCATGTACACAGTATGCGCACCGGCTTTCATTATAGGATTTATTGATTCGCGATTATGGGACATTAAATTACCCCGTAGCGGCAGCGCGTGTGCCCGGATGTGGCGGCCACCTCACAACCACCCCACAACCCCGATCGGTGCCAGCAACCTCGACCGCCCGCCCGCCTGATCCTTGTACAGCGGGCAGATCAAACCGCCCCGCGCGTCTTACAATGCTCTCGGATGTCGCGTAATCTGTAACCAAAATCGGAACTTGTTTAAAACAAATTTTTTTTGTTTGCTAATTTTTTTTTATGGCCATTAAAACGTTAAAACGTCGGAATTTTCAATGTGACCTTTGAGTAACTGCAAACATTTTCGCCGGCGTTTTTTACCTCTTGCCTTACATCGAATTCCGTTTGAATGCTGAATTATTGAATAGCTTCGATTCGGCCGCAGCCGGGTGTTTGACATGAAAATTGCGTTAAAAATTCAAATTGCACCCTCGGCGGCGGCGCGACACGTCTTGCGGGCCCCCTCGGACGAAAAGCAGCGAGCGCAGCGAAAAACGACTGTTTTGTTTACACCGCGATATCGATTGTTATACATGGAAATCAGAGTCGGTAATGTGTTTATTTCCGCCGACGCAAATACATTTGGAAAATTGCATTCGATGAAAGGCTTCGAGAGTGCACTGATGCGCATTCGTGATTCGTTGAAGAATTCTATTTGCAACTCTCTCTAGCGCGCAAAAAAAGCAGCCAACAACAACAACAAGAGAAAATGCCGCGCTGAAATTGCATCTCGCAATTTGTGCCTTAATTTCGAATGAATAATTCCTCATGCGTCACTCACAGCTCGATGCCGGTCGCTGGATTTGGACAATATACGATCGCCGGATGTATTTTTAACGTCATCGTCTCGAGAGTCACCTGCCTGCCTCGGCGTGTATTTTTAATTTAAGCAAGGAATACTGATTGCGACTTTCCGCACACATCTCTCACCGCCACCCTTTTCAACTTTGCACTCACGCTATTATTCCCGGCGTGGTGGCGCGCGCGATATGTATAATAAATACAAGCCGAAGAAAAAAAACCAACGCACGTTCCACATGTGCGCAGCGCGTGTCGCATTAGCGCGCACAAAAAACGCCGCCGCCCGGGCGCAAAGTGAAATTCGTTTTAATTAAAACCGTCGAGAGCCGTCGCCACTTTTCGCGCCGACGGACGAATAAATGAATGCATATTTATTTAAATTAGCCGCGTTATCATTTTCGC